CTCTTACAACATGTTTTGTTGACACTCTAAGAGATTTCACTAATTAAACTAATAAATACCAATGGTAATAAATGTTCATCAATGCTGGACGGAATCACTGAGATTGTTATCAGAGTGTATTTTGCTATACAACTGGTTTGTTGTCTGTTTAAACATCATGATCTAGTTACCAACAGTGGTGAATCCATGCAGACCCATGCCAATGAAGTGGTCTTGGTGCCATGTCTGTTTTGTTTTAACCCTGCAATGCTTACATTGCAGGATTTAAATGTCTCTAGTGAATGTCAGTAGAGGCACTTCTGCAGAAATATCTGAGTGAATCTCAGCTATTCCAGTCAGACGTTCTCATAGAGACCATCTGATTGATGCAGCACGGCATTTTGCCACGCGTGCACACAAGCCTCACAATACATTCCTATCACGCTTGCTCCCAGCCAAGGATGTGGGGCCAGCCACTGAGAGCACAGCTTGAGATAAAAGGTAAGTAAACTTTTGCACTTGTATTCCTAACGCTATAGTGTTCCTTTAATACATACATATTAAATATTTTAAAATAATATTATTCAACCTGAAAATATTAAATCATTTGAAAAGTGTATTCAACAATATTAAACTGAGGCCAAATTCAGCAAGGGAAGCAGTCCTACAGGAATCAGGCATTAAAGAGAAACTGCTATGTTTATAAATGTGTTAAGCCTTCCCCCAAATCCTCTAGTGGCTGTCTCATCACAGTGAGAGCACGCAAGCGTCCATAGGAAAGCATTGCAAATGCTTTCCTATGCGACCGGCTGAATGCGCGCGCAGCTTTTGCAGCGCGTGCGCATTCAGCCGACGGGGAGGAACGGAGGAGGATCGGAGGAGGAGAGCTCCCCGCCCGGCGCTGGAAAAAGGTAAGTTTTTACCCCTTTCCCCTTTCCAAAGCCGGACAGGAGGGGGTCCCTGAGGGTGGGGGCACCCTCAGGGCACTATAGTGCCAGGAAAACGAGTATGTTTTCCTGGCACTATAGTGGTCCTTTAAACATCTGCTAGCACTCTACTAGATATAGAAGAAAAAAGGAGGATCTTCAAGTCAGTATAAAAGATTCTCTAGAGTCTAGACCAATCCATTTCTCCGAGGATCTTGTGCTATCCAGTCAGCATCATCTGAGTGAGAAACATCACAACCAGAGATTACCCTTTATCTGAGGAATCTTTACCAAGAAATGTTTTGAGTCAAAGTGTCCAGAAAAGCTAGCCAAATAAGCAGCCTTATTTGATTTCATGGACTTGTCTGATACCAGTGTGGGAGAAGTCCCAAGGATTTTATTCCCAGTTATTCCTGGCTCCAAAGTTGCGAACAACTGGAGACCTATTCTGGATTTACATGTGCTGAGCACTTATCTCCATGCAAGAAGAATCAAGATGGAATACTTGGCTTCTATTATTATGGTGGTCCCACCAGGTGAGTCAATGGTGTCCGTTGATCTCAAAGATGCCCATTTTCATATTCCAGTAATCCAGGATCATGAGAGTTGAGCAGCAAAGGTTCTAATGGCCCTGATAGCAAAGATGAGTTTCAAAAGAAATCCATAGTTACATATTGTCAGGGTGTGCCGCATGAGTTACAGGAAAAGCCACTGTGCGTGGGATGCATATAGGAAGGAAGATCCATGATGATATAATACAACTGTTTATTCAAACCAAACAATAACTGCAATAAATTACAAAACAAAAAGAAACAATCTATAGACGTCTTTCTCTATTTGAAGATCAAGGGGGCCTTCAAATAGTCTTTTTAGGTATTATGAATTTTTTATATATTAGTTTTTTTCCCCACCAATCTTCATCCTATATTACGAACATATTTAAGTTTTTATTAAAACAGTATATTTGATAGTTATGCACACGTTTGAGGACAATAAATTGAGCATGTTTGCACAGTATATACATGTATTATATATGTGTGTGTATATATTTTGAGATACATCATGTTTTTATTGCATTTAGTATACCCATCAAAATAAAATATATATATATTTTTTATATTTATATACTGTATATGATCTATATTTTATTTATATACATAGGATGTTTATAATATATTTACATATATTATTTGAGTTGAGATCAAATGTAATTTTATATACACACCATATATTGGTCTCGAACATTAAATTAGATTTTTCTTAACCTCTGTATCAGTTATATGGAACTGTGGTTTTTATCTATTTAGCCATTCCAGATTTTAGCATAATAGGTCACTTTGAATAAGTAATGTATTTTTTATTAATTTTTGTTTGTAGTTCAATATCACTTCTCACATTTCTGTATTAAGACTTCAGGGTATATTGTGAATCAAATGGTTAACCCCTTAAGGACACATGACATGTGTGACATGTCATGATTCCCTTTTATTCCAGAAGTTTGGTCCTTAAGGGGTTAAAGGGATACTACAGGGAGTGCAGAATTATTAGGCAAATGAGTATTTTGACCACATCATCCTCTTTATGCATGTTGTCTTACTCCAAGCTGTATAGGCTCGAAAGCCTACTACCAATTAAGCATATTAGGTGATGTGCATCTCTGTAATGAGAAGGGGTGTGGTCTAATGACATCAACACCCTATATTAGGTGTGCATAATTATTAGGCAACTTACTTTCCTTTGGCAAAATGGGTCAAAAGAAGGACTTGAAAGGCTCAGAAAAGTCAAAAATAGTGAGACATCTTGCAGAGGGATGCAGCACTCTTAAAATTGCAAAGCTTCTGAAGCGTGATCATCGAACAATCAAGCGTTTCATTCAAAATAGTCAACAGGGTCGCAAGAAGCGTGTGGAAAAACCAAGGCGCAAAATAACTGCCCATGAACTGAGAAAAGTCAAGCGTGCAGCTGCCACGATGCCACTTGCCACCAGTTTGGCCATATTTCAGAGCTGCAACATCACTGGAGTGCCCAAAAGCACAGGGTGTGCAATACTCAGAGACATGGCCAAGGTAAGAAAGGCTGAAAGACGACCACCACTGAACAAGACACACAAGCTGAAATGTCAAGACTGGGCCAAGAAATATCTCAAGACTGATTTTTCTAAGGTTTTATGGACTGATGAAATGAGAGTGAGTCTTGATGGGCCAGATGGATGGGCCCGTGGCTGGATTGGTAAAGGGCAGAGAGCTCCAGTCCGACTCAGACGCCAGCAAGGTGGAGGTGGAGTACTGGTTTGGGCTGGTATCATCAAAGATGAGCTTGTGGGGCCTTTTCGGGTTGAGGATGGAGTCAAGCTCAACTCCCAGTCCTACTGCCAGTTCCTGGAAGACACCTTCTTCAAGCAGTGGTACAGGAAGAAGTCTGCATCCTTCAAGAAAAACATGATTTTCATGCAGGACAATGCTCCATCACACGCGTCCAAGTACTCCACAGCGTGGCTGGCAAGAAAGGGTATAAAAGAAGAAAATCTAATGACATGGCCTCCTTGTTCACCTGATCTGAACCCCATTGAGAACCTGTGGTCCATCATCAAATGTGAGATTTACAAGGAGGGAAAACAGTACACCTCTCTGAACAGTGTCTGGGAGGCTGTGGTTGCTGCTGCACGCAATGTTGATGGTGAACAGATCAAAACACTGACAGAATCCATGGATGGCAGGCTTTTGAGTGTCCTTGCAAAGAAAGGTGGCTATATTGGTCACTGATTTGTTTTGTTTTTGAATGTCAGAAATGTATATTTGTGAATGTTGAGATGTTATATTGGTTTCACTGGTAATAATAAATAATTGAAATGGGTATATATTTGTTTTTTGTTAAGTTGCCTAATAATTATGCACAGTAATAGTCACCTGCACACACAGATATCCCCCTAACATAGCTAAAACTAAAACAAACTAAAAACTACTTCCAAAAATATTCAGCTTTGATATTAATGAGTTTTTTGGGTTCATTGAGAACATGGTTGTTGTTCAATAATAAAATTAATCCTCAAAAATACAACTTGCCTAATAATTCTGCACTCCCTGTATAGTGCCAGGGATACAAATCTGTACTCCTTGCACTATAGCATCATCGGCTTCTCCCTCCCTCACGCCCCCTAGTCGGTGAATAAAGGGTTAAAATCCCTTTATTTACTTACTTGATCCCAGCACCGATGTCCCTCGGCGCTGGGACGCCTCTCTGTCTCCTCGGACATCCTGCGACGAGCTGGCGCTAATGCGCATGCGTGGCAAATGCGGCACACACATTAGATCCCCCATAGGAGAGCATTGAATCACTGATTTCCTATGGGGAAATAGATGACGCTGGATGTCCTCTTGCTGAGTGCGAGGACATCCATTGTCAGTTACCAGACCAAAGATTCGTTAAAACCAGGAAGCACCTCCAGTGACAGTCTGGTGGACAGCCACTGGAAGCAGACTAGTTAGTGCTGCAATGTAAACATATCAGATATATCCTTGAATATTTGTAACCTTTAGATTGTAAGCTCACATGCTATCTAGCAAAGTACTCTGTATAAAACATCTTCAAGAATCTCAGCTCACGGGCAGGGCCCTCTTTACCTTTTGTACCGGTCTGTTTTATATTACACGGTGTTCATATTGTACAGTACTGTCTATTTCCCAATTGTACAGCGTTGTGGAATATGTTAGCGCTTTATAAATGCCAGTAATAGAGAATAAAAATAGTGTTATTTTAAAAAACAAAACCAAAAAAAAAGTTATTTTATTTTTTTTCCAAATATCTATAGAATCTGACAAGTAGATTCTCTGGGTAGACAATTCCTCAGTGATAAATCTTAGGAGGTCCCTGAAATTAAATGAAAATGGGCAAATATCAAATATTTTACTGAAAAAAGAGAGACTTATGGCTATACTTTGCAGGAGGACTATTTAGAAGAGAGCCAGCCAGCCAGCCAGCCAGCCAGCCAGCCAGCCAGCCAGCCAGCCAGCCAGCCAGCCAGCCAGCCAGCCAGCCAGCCCTCTCTGCTCCTTGTGAACAGGCGTTCTCCCCGGGCAGCCTCTTATGAGGACCCCTCTAAGCCCCGCCTTAGCAACGCCCCTTGCGCTTGCTATATCCAATATGGCGGCTGCCCGGTTGTCCCGGTGACCGGTCTCCGAGGGAGGGGGGTAGGATGTTGAAGAGTACCGGCTATTTCCGGGCTATTGAGTGCCCGTTCGGGGAATGCTGCCGCCGGCCGTATTGCCATTTCAGACACCGAGGCAGGGGGCTGTGGGGGAGCAGCCCTGGAGAGGCCCGGACTGGGGCGGGTGAGAAACTTTGTTTACATTTCCGACATATTAAACATGGCGGCGGCCAGTGTGACTGCTGGACCTGGAGACACTGAGTCCTCCATTAATGGGGAGAGTGTGGGGTATGGTGACCTCAGGGCTCTCAGGGACCAGCACCATGCCATGTTTGTTTGTTTACATTTACCTTGTGTGACATAATGAGCCCATTATTGGTGTGTGTGTGTCTTTATACAATTACTGGGTATGACACAATGAGCCCATTATTGGTGTGTGTATGTGTGTCTTTATACAATTACTGGGTATGACACAATGAGCCCATTATTGGTGTGTGTGTCTGTCTTTATACAATTACTGGGTATGACACAATGAGCCCATTATTGGTGTGTGTGTCTGTCTTTATACAATTACTGGGTATGACACAATGAGCCCATTATTGGTGTGTGTGTGTCTGTCTTTATACAATTACTGGGTATGACACAATGAGCCCATTATTGGTGTGTGTGTGTGTCTTTATACAATTACTGGGTATGACACAATGAGCCCATTATTGGTGTGTGTGTGTGTGTCTTTATACAATTACTGGGTATGACACAATGAGCCCATTATTGGTGTGTATGTGTGTCTTTATGCAATTACTGGGTATGACACAATGAGTCCATTATTGGTGTGTGTGTCTTTTTATACAATTACTGGGTATGACACAATGAGCCCATTATTGGTGTGTGTGTGTGTGTCTCTTTATACAATTACTGGGTATGACACAATGAGCCCATTATTGGTGTGTGTGTCTCTTTATACAATTACTGGGTATGACACAATGAGCCCATTATTGGTTGTGTGTGTGTCTTTATACAATTACTGGGTATGACACAATGAGCCCATTATTGGTGTGTGTGTGTGTCTTTATACAATTACTGGGTATGACACAATGAGTCCATTATTGGTGTGTATGTGTGTCTTTATACAATTACTGGGTATGACACAATGAGCCCATTATTGGTGTGTGTCTTTATACAATTACTGGGTATGACACAATGAGCCCATTATTGGTATGTGTGTGTGTGTGTCTTTGTACAATTACTGGGTATGGCACAATGAGCCCATTATTGGTGTGTGTGTGTGTGTGTGTGTGTGTGTGTGTGTGTGTGTGTGTGTGTGTGTGTGGTGTCGTGTCTTTATACAATTACTGGGTATCATTGATAAATAGGAATATGGGGTTCTGCCTTTTATTTTTTTTAGGTGCCTGTGTGTCTGGGATTTTGATTTATTTTTTTAAATTAAATTGTAATTAATGTGCCAGCTAACCTGTCATCACAGCTCCTTGCTGTTGTTTTTGCCTCAGTGTTTTTTTTGTAAGACATTTTAAATGGTGCCCAGTTTTGAATATCACATTGGAAAAGGTTCTGCAGGTTTTTTTTTTTTTTTGAGCTTCATTGTTAATTATGTGGCTATTGCATAAAAACAGGTTTATGGTAATGTGGAGAAGGAAAAAAAAGTTAGATTTCTGAGGAAAGAATTAGAAGACGTATAGAGGTGTTTTTTTACATTTACATACTGGAACATGAGGGGGAAGGTCGTTATTGAAAATGACCATATACATCTTCAGTAAGCAGTTGTTGAGCACCCCATACAGACCTGTGTGTTTTCTCCTCCCCCTAGCGCTCTAATAGGTACATGGTTCTATGAAGTGTTTATATCAGGACTTTAACGTAGAAAAGCAGGGTACGTCCTTGCTGCTCAAAATAATAGACCATAAGACAAGTTGGTGCAATTGGCTGTATGTTCTATACAGCAAAAGTATTATACTGTGGATATTATTGATATTTTAACTTCCATGTTTCTCAGTTTGGTTAAGGGTCCTAGCCATTCTAGCAGAACAGCTGGAAGTTCGGTAGTGTGACGGTAATCTAGCTAAGGGACAGATTCGGCACTGCAGCCCTGTACTCCTCAATTGAGATCTTCAAGCTTGATAATCTGTGTTAAATCAGATGCTTCTGCTAGGGAAGCATTATGGACACGTGATGCATGCACAGCAATTGCCACGACCCTTTAATCCATTTCTTCTCTATGACAAACATGGAATCCAGTGCATTCTCTGGTCCGTCTCTGGCATCAGTATATTTCATGTTCTGACATCAATTAGGTTCAGTATTTGAATCTGTTTCAGCAACAACGATGTTTGTTAGAGGGGGAAAACATTAGTAGACAAGTGGAAAGGTAGATTCTTAGATGTTGTAGAAGATAAAGTCCCATAATACATTGTCAACCTTTATCTTGATTAAAGATGAAATGGTCACTCCAAGCTTCATAACCACTGCAACCCACTGTTTATGATGTTAGGAGGTAGACTGGTGTCATTCCTTGGTAGTTGGGAATGACATTTTGCAATGATTTACATCTTTTCTTATTTGGGGCTCAACTTCTGTAGGTCTGTCAATCTTGCCACTCATTTATTGGCTGAGAGTGCTCAGCAGTCACTCTTGGCCAGTAAAGGAGTGTCAAGATGAGCAATTGTGCTGAATTTTTATTTATATTTTTTTGTACATTTTTATTGGTTCTACACATTGTACAGGAATAATAGCAAACCGTATAAAAAAAGCGTTTCATCAAGTCCTCTTTAAGTTTACAAAAGGTCAGTGGGTTTAAAATATATAAATACTTGAATACAATGTAAAATATAGGGATTGTCTTGGAAGCTTACATGCTAGAGGGAGTGGGGTAATGTGACAAAAAGGTAAGGATAGTATTAGACTAGTGACCGTTGCAAGAGAGGAATCAGTCGGGAGCTAGTTTAATTGATACGCTTTTATGAAGTGTGTTTTTAATGATTTTTTTTGAAGGAGTGGTGACTGGGTGAGCTAACGGAGGAGGGAAGCGCGTTTAGACCTAGGACAAAATGGTGCCCTAAAGTCTAAACATCCTATTCACTTGATATGGGTACGAGGTCATTTATTAAAATTGGAATTTTCTATTTCTAACAAATTGTCAGTATGCAGAATCTCATTCGAAAAATGTATTTAATATTTGCATATGCCCATTACAGAATAAAACGAGGCACCTGATCAGTGTGATCATATTCTCATACACTCCTATAATCACAGACAAGCACAGCATCCCCTATATCTGTTTTGGGAGAGCTGGAGTGGATCCTATTGCTGGGGTTCAGTGGGGCTGCTGGGTTCAGTGTGTTCTTCCTGCACAGCTCCCATCCTCACTTTGTAGTGATGCTGATGCCAGGTGACTTCACATATCAGCTGCAGAAACACTAGTGTGCGTTAGGGAACTGTGCAGGAGGAAATGCCGCTTCATCCCTCCACCAGTATATTCTGCTGTTATAATGTCAGAAGGCTGGCGGCGTGCACATCTGTCCATTGTGAGGAGTCACTCTGTGATGCTGCGCCTCTTAAATTTTTAGAAGAAAAAAAAATTACATCTACAGCAGCTGCAGCCCCCAGCTGGGCCCAGCTTCAGTGGCCCACTGGAAAATTTCATTTTCTCCTTGTGTGCCGGTCCAGTTCTGGTATTGAGGAAGGAGATCCAAGGGGACCCAAATAGATATGTATCCTTTACAAACATGACCCATGGAAATCCTCCATCTCTCTAATGCTCTCCACCTTGTGGATCCACTCTTCTATACAGGAAATGTTATGTTTTCCAATAGCAAGCAATTAAGGCCTTAGCAGTATTTAGTGAATGAGGGTGAGTGTGAGCATATTTAGAGTTTGCCACTGATCATGGGGTGACGTGGCGCAAACCAGCTTCGGGAGTGAGAGACGACCTAACCCTCGTAATGGTTGGTACATGGGTGGTTAAAGTTGACTAATAGGGGCTTACTTTTTCACACAACCGCCAAATAGGCGCCATTGTGCCTTGTGCGCCACGGCAGCATCTGTCTGGATAGAAGGGAGAAATACTATGTAAAATTTTATGGATTTAGATTACAATAATTTATAGTTGACTAATTGCATGTTGGCATCCAATGAGGAAATATGAGTAACTTTTTTTTCTTCCCAATCCCCATCAGTGAGGGAGGACCCCAATTCTTTGGACCACACATGCAATTGAATGGATAATTTCTGAGAAGATGCCGCTTCTCTCTAAAGTTCTGAGATGTAACGAGTAACCTATTTCAGAGCAAAGTATAACCTTTCAAACTGGTGCATTGTAAGGTTTAAAGACATGAGCTGGAAATATTGGAATTGTGCCATTGCTGAATGGTGTGAAGTTAGTTCTGTGCACAGAATTCATATTAACCAGCCTGGAACACTAGCTGTGATAGCATCCTCTGATTGTACAGTACCATGCTATATTGTGCCATAGCTTGCTCCAACTTACTTTATAGGTGTCTATGATTGTCCCTTTAGATCAGAAATTAAATAGAAATATAGAGGGATATAACTTACAGTACTGTATTTTGTTACTTATTTACAAGATACTGTACTAATATATCGAATAGACCAAAAAGTAGTATAGTGTGGAACTAATTTCAAAAAGTTTTTGACGTTAACACACAGAAGGATGTATGGTGATTCACACAAAAGGATTAAAGGGGTGCTATAGGCACCCAGACCACTTCATCTCTTTAAAGTGGTCTGGGTGCACTGTCCCTCTCCATCTTAGCCCTGCAATGTAAAACATTGTCTCCCAGACAGCCACTAGAGGCGCTTCCTGACTTTTTTCTGGGCGTGAAATGATGCTTTGCGTGAGGGCATCCAGCATCTTCATATCCCTATAGGAAAGCACTGATTTAATGCTTTCCTATGGGAAAGGCTTAATGTGCTCGCCGCAAATGTGCATTAGCTTCCCCCCTATTACTGACATTGGAGGAGACGGAGCAGGACCGAGGGACCTTGGCACTGGAAAAAGGTAAGTGTGTAAAGTTGTGTTTTTTTTTTATATATATATATATATATATTCAACACCTGAGGGGGAGACAATAACTTTATGGTACATGCACACTAAAGTATACAGTTTTGTATTCCTAATACTCTTGTGTATTTTTTTTTTTTTTTTAAGGTATTCTAATTATAAAACTACAGACGCAATTTTGGTTTAAAAGGTGACTGCACTTTGAGGTTACTGTAAGGACCAGCTGGATGGCCTAGATCATCAGAATAATCAATATAAAAAGTTCATTATAACATAATCAGAGCTCAAATCAATGATCAAAGGTACTAGTCTAGTACCTTTTGGTCTTACCTCCAGTTTCCCCTGACTACCTCAGCGTATTTTATGTTTTAACCCCATGTCTACCTTCTAGATTGATCTATTGTCTGTATACAAGGGGACAGTTTCTGTGCTAAAAACAAGCCTTTTTAAATAAAGCTCACATACTTAAGTTTTTAATCTCTACTTTGGAGGTCTTCTATGGATATTTACAGCTGTAACTTGGTAGAGGAGTAGCCTTATAAGGCTAGTACTTATTTAATTTTTGCACTTGAGATATGTGTTCTGTGATCATACTGTGTATTTAGTGTGTATTATCATTTCATTTACTATAAGATACTAACAACACTATTCCAGACTCCACTCATCCACCTAGTGGTGGATTAGGTGAAATTCTTTAACTGTATAGGGCTAAGCCCTTTGAACATAACTGGAGTTTCCTACTGGTGAATAGATCCTAAGAAGTAAACTTCTTGGGTATCTTATTTTGTGCTACTTGTTTGTCTGTGACTGCACAGCATGGCCTGTAATGTGTCTGTGACTGCACAGCATGCAGCATGGCCTGTAATGTGTCTGTGACTGCACAGCATGGCCTGTAATGTGTCTGTGACTGCACAGCATGGCCTGTAATGTGTCTGTGACTGCACAGCATGGCCTGTAATGTGTCTGTGACTGCACAGCATGCAGCATGGCCTGTAATGTGTGTCTGTGACTGCACAGCATGCAGCATGGCCTGTAATGTGTGTCTGTGACTGCACAGCATGCAGCATGGCCTGTAATGTGTGTCTGTGATTGTACGTGTGGGGTTGGGGGGAGGAAGAGTCATTTTCGGCCAAGGGCATCCTGAAGTTTCGGTTTTGGCTCTGAATTTTTTTATTTTGGTACATCCCTAGTTTTACACCAATATTGGGTAATATTGGGTCCCTGTTTGCATTTCTTCCTTTTCTTGGCTGTCGTATATTGTGCGCCGGTCTCTGCATATCTTTGGCTGCCGAGCAAGTAACATGTACAGTATATTTGTAAAAAGTATCCTTTCCCACTACTGTAAAATGTTCAGATTTGCATTCTGATACTGCCCCTGAGTAACAAAATTTTGCATTTATAGACTTTTGCCTGTTTTTTGAGTTGTAATGTTTAAATTACAGACATCACAGTTGCAGTTTTTGAATTTCCGATTTCCACTGATAAACTGTGATCATTTTAACCTTTAACCCCAACTGCACTATATCCCAGTCAGTGCCTAATTTAAAAAAAAAAAAAAAAAAAAAATTTCTCTTAACTTTCATATAGATATTAAAATGTAATAGTGTATTTCACAGGCCTTGTGTGTCCTGTTACTTTAGAGAGCCTAGATCAGTGGTAGTCAACCTTTTTCCACTTACCGCCCACTAATGCATCTTTCTTGATGGAAAAATTTCCTTACCGCCCACCAGTTTTCGCGCAAGCGCGGAATATTTTTTAGAAAGGAGGGTGTTTTAAAAAATACATAAATGAACGTACATTTATCTTTTTATTTCTACTTTATGCATGTTTATAATGTTTTTAACTTTATAAAGTTTAATGAGGAAGCAATAAAGTAAATTGAACTTACCTTTACTAGTGATTAATGAGATCCTTGAGGTTGATGCTGCGAGACTAAATATTTGATATCTGGTTCGATTTTCATAAGGAACAAACGAAGGTCTCCTCTTTCAGTGATAATCGGAAGACTTCTTTGTTTGCTCATAAAATGATTTCTCATCTGTGCGTCAGCTCCCCTCCTCTCCCTCCTCAATTCCCCTTCCCACCTTTTTCCCCTTTTTTCTATTTTTTAACCTTCCTTATAGCAATGCCCAGTAGGAAGGCTGAGCTAGGTAGCCCACTTACTATTATTAGTCAACAACAATTCTCTCCTTTTCCTTTTCTTTCCTTCTCCTTTTTTACAAGTACTCTACTCCTTCTTTCCTCTATACTAGAAGTACTCTACTCCTTCTTTCCCCTATACTAGAAGTACTCTACTCCTTCTTTCTCCTATTCTACAAGTACTCTGCACCTTCTTTCTTCTATTCTACAAGTACTCTGCACCTTCTTTCTTCTATTCTACAAGTACTCTGCTCACAGGCAAACACATACACACACACACACACACTCACATTGAAACACATACACACAAATATACACATACTCACACATGCACTTACAGACACTCACACATGCACAGACAGACCCACAGACACACACACACTTACTGACACACACACATACACTTACAGACAGACACATACACTTACAGACAGACACATACACTTACAGACAGACACATACACTTACAGACACAGACACACACATACACTTACAGACACAGACACACACATACACTTACAGACACACACACATACACTTACAGACACACACACATACACTTACAGACACACACACATACACTTAGAGACAAACACATGTACACACACACACACATACACTTAGAGACAAACACATGTACACACAAATTATTAATATTAAATATCCACCCAGCCTCCCTACCTGGAGAGCTGGTGTGGATCTGTCCCTGGGGTCCAGTGGGGCTTCACTTAGGCGGGCGGCTAATCAGACGCAGCGAGGGAGCTCTAACCTCTCTGCTCTGCTCCCTCGCGGACTGTCTACGGATGCCGGGAGCCGGAATATGACATCATATTCCGGCTCCCGCGGCATCAGCAAACATCGCGCGAGGGAGCAGAGCAGAGAGGTTAGAGCTCCCTCGCCGCGACTGATTAGAACGCTGCCATGCCGGGGGGTCCAGAAGGTGGCCTGGCAGGAGGGAGCGCTTCCTCCTGCCGGTCACTGAAGACTTGCGCATGCAGAGCCGCTCGCGCCCGCCCAAAAGGAGAAATCCTCTTAAAAAGAGGATTTAGCCTCAGAAATCCCTACCGCCCACCTGGAATCCTAAAACGCCCACTAGTGGGCGGTAGGGACCAGGTTGACGACCCATGGCCTAGATTGCTCTTTTGCAGCATCTCCGGAGTAAAGCCAATACCCCATGTTTTGGTTAACTTACAGGGTCAAATCGGAGACATGCTCTAATTTTGACATGCCTTGTTGAGATAACGCATCACCTATTTCACCACCCTAACTGTGACCCTCTTTCTAACCCTATATAACCAACAACAGTAATGGATAGCTGTTTAGTGGATTGGCTCCAAGGCTCAGTGAACACTGTAAGAGCCAATCACAGTGATGTTATTAAGGAGGGGGGTTTCTAAAAGTGCTGCTTTCTCTTGAAATCAGAAAAAGAACACAGCCAGTTAACCCCTAAGGTGCTTAAGCAAACTGAGGAGATATAATAATCTGTAGTGCTAAACTACTAGCCAGGTGTACACATTAATTGCCACGTTGATAAGCTTTTTGTTTATAATGGACTGTATTATTAGTATATTTTTTATTATTATTATTATAATTATTATAATTATTATTATTATTATTATTATTATTATTAGACATCTACATTCTACTTGTCCTTCCCAATAGTTTTATTTTCTCTCTTCCTTTCTTAGATAAACAGAATTTAAATGGGCTCTCAAAACACCATTCAAGCTACAGCATGCTGCATTGTTTATGATGCTAGGAATCCCCTGGCACCAGCTTACTGTTAATAGTCATACCTTTCTAAAACGAAGTATGCTTGATTTTATTAGGGGACTTTTTCATTGAAGAACATCAAAGGGTTAAATATTCTTCACAAGAGGTGTGAGTGGGTGTATGTGCGCTTATCTGTAGTTTGCAGTCTCTCCTTGGGCAGTTGGTGTGGTGATCAAATGGAGAAGCTTCGTTATAGATACTTTTATTTGAGCCAAGAAGAGGAAGGTAAAATATTAAATTTTAATATGTATGGAGAGACAAACTATTATTGTGTGAATATGTAGTATATTATTGTTTATATATGTGTATGTAGCCTCACCATGTATAATGCAGATTATAATACAGTGAAACTGTAACATTTGCATTTTTCACATCTTGTCCTTGTATATTGTGTTCTGAAACCTGCTGGGTGGTTTCAGGTCTTTTGCTTGTGCATAGAACAATTTTTAATATTGGTCCATCCATGTACCAAAGTCATCTCACATAGTTTAATGTCAGAAGAAGGTTTAGTGTCTTCGTGTTTAGTGTGGAAAATGTGGGCTTCTCTCATGAAATATTGCATTCTATACCAAATCAAGGTTTAAATGATACATAAAAATGAATGTGTAACTAGCAAGACCACGCAAAAACTAGATTTTTTTTGAGGTGCAGTCACAAGCTGTCATTCGTATTTGCATGAATCGCAATTCGGACGGAAATAAGCGGATTTGTCCAAATTACAAACTGCACAATTGAAGAATGAAGTAAGTAATGGACAAATCATGTGAACATTTTAATTCGGTTTTGTTCATTCTTTTAACTAATTCATAAAATTGGTACCCTTATGTGTTATTACCATATTCAGGGCTTATAGGGTATCCTTAAATATGGTGATACCAAATTAGGGAGCTATCTATTATATAGATTAAAGACCACATTTTCTTAGTTGTTGGGTGGTGGTGGTTGTTGTGTGTGTTTTTTTTTGTTTTGTTTGTTTTTTGTTGTTTTTTTTAGCTACTTGGTAGGTGCCTCCCTTATTTGGTATCCTTATCCTTCTTTTGGATTGCCATGTTTAAAAGGACACTAGATCCTAGTCACCAGAACAACTACAACCGATTGTATTTGTTATGGGGAGTATAATCAGTCCCTACAGGCTTTTTGCTGCCTTTTCTGCAATTTTTACATTACATCCTAGGGATACCTCCACTGGCCACTCCTCAGATGGCTGCCAGAGGTGCTTCCTGGGGCAGTGCTGCACAGTCTGACTGACATTCAGTGTCTCCACCCTCTTCATGGAGACACTGAACTTTACAGATGCATTGATTCAATGCATCTCTATGATGAGATGCTTATTGGCCAGGGCTATGTTTGGCTTGTGCTGGCTCTGCCCCTGATCTGCCTCCTTGACAGTCTCAGCCAATCCATTGCTTTCCTATGAGAAAGCATTGTGATTGGCTCAGACCATAACTGATGATGTCTGATGTCAGCCAAGCAGGCAGAGCCAGCAGCAGCAGACTAGAGTAAAGGTAAGATTTTACTATATTTAGGGAGGGCCAGCTGGGCTAGATGGTGGTTTTAACACTATAGGGTCAAGAATAAGTGTTTGTGTTCCTAACCCTCTAGTGTTCCTTTAACCCCTTAAGGACACATGACATGTGTGACATGTCATGATTCCCTTTTATTCCAGAAGCTTGGTCCTTAAGGGGTTAAAGATGCCAAAATTGGGAGCTATTAGCTGAACAAGGCTCCCTCCCTAGTTTTGTATCCTTAAATCCACTAAACTGAAAGATCAAAACCTGGGACCAGGAAGTGAAAAGCTGGAACCTTGTACTGCTCCTTTATCCTCATGTGTAGTGATCCAAAGAAACTGTTTCAGTCCATAGTATATTCACACAAATTTATTAAGCATAAAAAAAGAACCTATAAAGCACAACACAATTCAACCATAGGGTTTCAAATAACTGCTTCTATTTTTAATCCTATCAAATATGGCACCAAACCTGCCCCCTGCATGGTTGTTGCAATGACGAAATCCTGTATCTCATGATGTAATGGCAATATGTAATATGCAGTTTTGTCGTCTTCAATATGCCACTTTCTGCACTTACACTTAGAGCTTAAGAGGAAGTGCTCCAAGTGCCATATAAAACCAAGGCTTACTAACCAATATATACTAAAAGAAGGAAAAGGAACCCCAGTCAAAAAGTAACCCCGTTCCCTCCCACCTAACACATTCACATACTTCCCAACTTTAGAGACCAAATCCCTCTATCCCTCTTTTCTATCCTAATGTCCCTCTGTTGCTGGAACTGTGTGACTTAGGATTGCCACCTGGCATGTATTTTCTGAGCACTATCATTATATGAGGCAGCCTAGCCGCTACTGGTATATCAGAAAAACCTGCAATACAATTGCCAGTATCTTTTGCTAGCAGCAGCAAGCAGGATCTTTTCTGTTCATAAAGCAGTCGAGCTGCCTGTGTATCCCTGCTGTTTCCGATGCTCCAAGCTCCCCTACCTGACCCTCAACTAGGAGGAGGTGGTTAGGAATAAGGACAGAACTTTGATAATATTGTAATATGTACTGCAGTTATCACTGTTCTAATAGCAAGTCACAGCTTAGCCAACATTCTGATCCTTTCTTAGGTTTGTCAGTGACAAAGTCCTGATATCTGTCTCAGCCTGCAATGGATTTAATGGCGCATTAGGCTGTTTGTAATACAGTGTTATCTGTGAGCTGTGCTCTGGGTAACTCGCAGTATTTGATCCCAGCAGATGCATTTAGTTAGTCTTTCAGTGCCTGTGATGGTGAATCATCATGCAGTATATATGTAGAGAGGGGGATGATTTTTAATTGGTACCAGTGATTAAGGAGTACAAGTATCAGTTTAATGTCTGACTACACAGCATTGGTCCAGTGATGGCCAAGTGCTGTGGGCTACCAAATGACTGGTAAAACAGAATTCACATTGGCTAGTTTTAACGCTCCAACACTCCAGTTGTATGTGTGTTTGTGTATCTCTGTATGTGGCAGTGAATGTGCATGCATCCTTGCACCCAAACACACTACATGCAAATGCGAACACTTCTTTTGACGTTATGTCTGGTGACATCACGTCCAGTAACATCACACATTTTATAAATAATTATGCAAATTAGTATATTGTTTTGCCCTTTTATTTTAGGGAAAATTGTAAAGTCTTGCCTCGTTTCATCAACTGTTTTCCTTCTTTCAGAATATGATCCTTATAGTCCTGACCTCCCAAAGGTGCCTCCCTGTTTTGATGATGGTGTGTTGGAGACTGTTCCTGAATCCAGCCTGGATATCTTGGAGCTGGAGAGGGTCAACAAGGCTATCGAGGCAGTTAAGAGTGAAGTGGAGAGAGAACAACGAAAATATGAAAAGTTGTTGGGGACACAGAAGGACTACAGTGTTCCCAAGAGCAAATCCAAACATTCTGCCTCCTTCACATCCCTGGAATACGATCCGGGAAATTACACAAGCAGTGGCACATACAATCCCACTCCTTTAGCCCGTGTGAGTAAAGGTAACAAATACACTCTGGATGATTTGGACCGGACTGCAGTCAAGACCAGCTGCTTAGAGTATGTTCCGACCGCTGTGATACCCGCTGCTAAAAACAAGACTAATAAATATGTCATAGATAACTGCAAGCCTCACACAGATATGGAGTATGATCCAATGTCTAACTATTCGGCCAGGCTTTTAAGCAAGGACAAACCGCAGCAGGGCACCAAAAGGAATAGACAAAGCAGCCAGGATGAAGGCTACACTCCTTCTCCCAAAAAATTATGCAACAATGTCTCGGTGGATGCTAGGTTTTCTGACTCTGAAGATGAGAATGAATCCGTGGTCCAACAGTCTGCAGGCAAATATGTTCCTTCCAAAAAGACTGAGAAAGTCTCTGTATCCACTAAACCATCCAAGCATATTAATGTAGGAAAGAAAGTCAAGGAGATAGCTGTGCAGTATGATATGGAAGATATTGGAAAACTTGTGAAGAACCACAGCAAAGAGTCATCAAAGCATAAGTCCGACAAGTCTAAAAATGAAAATAAAACTACGTCGAAAGAGCAACCTAAAAATAGAGAGTCAGGGTCACGTAGCTTGGCTAAGGAGACCAAGAAGGAGAAGTCCAAAGCTATAGTCAAAAATAAATGTGAAAATGTTAAGAATGGAGACAACATTCAAAGTCACAAAAATAAGAGCAGTAGGCCTGATAAAAAGATTGAAAAACTAAATTCAGTGAAGGATCCTATCAAAGGGTCCTCAAGCAAAAACAAAGAGCAGTTGCAAAATAAATGTAAGAAAGATAAGATGCAATCTAAAAAGGATTCCAATGACAAAACTGAAAAGGTGAAGAATGGTCACATTAAGGAGAAGTCAAGCTCTGAACGGTCTTTAAAATCAAAATCAACTGCGCCTAGCGGGGTAAAGGTCAAGTCAAAACAAAGGTCTCTTAGCCATGTGGATTTGTTTGGCGATGAGAGCAGTGAGGAGGAGGCAAAAGTAAAGAAACGTGTCCCACATAGAGGTAGTTTAGGTTCTGATGGCGGTGGGCACAGTGATACTGAAGGGGAGAGTAGTACGAAGGTGGGCAAGCTTGTCTGCCGCAGGGTCTCCTCTTCTTCTGTGGACTCAATAGAGATTGATTACTCTGCTCTAGAGAAAGAATTGGATTCTGATTCTGACCCAATGGAGGAGTGTCTGAGAGTATTTAATGAGTCTCAAGATGTAAAGACCGAAAACAAAGGCAGGATGTGGAAACAGGTACTTTTTAAGGGTGGTGTTCCTTCTGCAAATTCCTGACTATGCCTGCTTCTGAACAGATATACATGGAGAAATTTAAAACAATATTACACCTTAGAATTACACTCCCTGTCCCAAATGTGTAGTAATCAAGACATACATAATTCAGCTTAACTGGATGAGAAATATACAAAAGTTTTTTTTCAAAACCTTACCACCAAATTAAAAAATTTAATTCTGTGAAATTGATTTAAGCTGTAAAATAACCCGTTAGAAAAACAATATATCCTCCTTGGATGCATCAGCATGAATCCTTGGATATCCTTCCAATTCGTCAGAACTCCTTTAATATAGTACTGCAAAAAATAAAAATAAAAGCCTCTATCTCCACACCCCTGCTGCCGTCAATGTAATGCAGACTTTTCTTTTCCACGTTCTAAAATGTATCTACCTTTGGACATTGCATGCATATGATATTTATTGCTTCAGAGTCCACGGTATTGGATACTGTCTCAGTGATTCTTACCGTCTCTTGCAGCCTCATGAAGACGGCGAGGAGAAATCTGAACATGCAATGACAACTTTGATTCCAGGCCAAAAGAGAAGAATTTCTCACGTTAACAGTCCAGCTAATGTAAGTGTCAAGCTTCTTCATACTGCATGTATGTTGTTTCCGTTCTTTGATTTACAATAGTTAACTGACAAATGAATGTGAGCGCTTTTTGTCTTTTTTTCATTTATACGAAACTTGTATTCTTTAAATTAAACAGCATTGATACTTCAAATCCACCCTAATGTTATACTTGATAAGCACACATAGGGAAAATTAGTCATTAATAGTATGCATTGAGACTCCATTACATCTCATCGAATACTCAGCTAGAGGGTAAGACGGTTTCCATTTTTTTTCTAATTTTCAGGGTTTCATAGAAGGTGTTAATTGTGGGTAGCTATTGGTTTGGTCAGCCTGGCCCATTCCCTTTCCATAGGTAGCCAGACAAGTTCAGCCAAGTTACACACTACATGTTAATTGTTAGGGCCAGTAGTCCAATTTACTAACTCTGCTTACGAATGAGCCTTGATCTGATTGTTTAGAACATTTATATATGCTTGGTTATCCTCAGAATATACAGACATAGCTTTCTTCCATTAGGCTTAAAGGATCACTAGAGGGTCAGGAACACAAACATGTATTCCCGACCCTATAGTGTTAACACCACCATCTAGCCTCCCTGGGCCCCTCATGCCTCCATAAATATAGCAAAATCTTACTGTATTAAAGCCTGAAGCTGTAACTCTGCATGCTATTAGACTCAGAAAAACAAGCAGTCTGCTGACATCATCAGAAGTAGTGACCTGATCCAATCACAGTGCTTCCCCATAGGATTGGCTGAGACTGACAAAGAGGCAGATTAGGGGCAGAGCCAGCATGATTCAAACACAGCCCTGGCCAATCAGCATGAATTGAATCAATGAATCTCTATGAGGAAAGTTTAGGGTCTGCATGCAGAGGGAGGAGATACTGAATGTTTGGATGCATTTTAGACAGCCATCTAAGGAGTGGCCAGTGAAGTTATCCCTAGGCTGTAATGTAAAGACTGCATTTTCTCTGAAAAGACAGTGTTTACAGCAAAAAGCCTGAAGGTAATGATTCTACTCACCAGAACAAATTCAATAAGCTGTAGTTGTTCTGGTGACTATAGTGTCCCTTTAAATTTAAAGAATGGTTGTGGAGCTAATGGCCAGGTCACCAGCGACACTAATGGAATGTTCTAGCTGGTTGCTCCACTTCTAGAACTTTGCCCCTGAATTATTTTATTATACATAACTAGAAAGAGTAGCAGCTGAATTATATATTAAACGAAGATCATTTCAATTCATGCTGTAGGTATTAAGGTTGTAAAGTAAATAGACACAAACCCACCCCTATTTATTTTCTATGTTTATTGCCTTTCTGTAGCCCGCTGAGGGAATACTTGCTGTTTTTATTATTTCCCCTCTTTAGTCATCCTCTTCTAATAAGCCGGTGATCCATCCATCCCGTCTGCCAACACCCCAGGAGATATGTTACCAGCGAATTCAGCGAGCACAAGAGCAGGCAATCCAGCTTCTAGCTCAGCAGAAAGAATTGCTGTTAAGCAATGCCGCACAAACGTCTTCTCCAACACCACATAGTCAGAAGAAGAGAATTGCACATTTTCCTGGCATTCGCTCCCCCTCTTTTCCAATTGTGTCCACAGTTACTGGTAAAACTATCTCTTGTTACTCATTAATTGCTGTAAATTTGGGTTCTTGTTTAAGAAAGATTGCAGACACCAAACAGAAAAAGTATAATTCTTGACACGTGTAATAGAATATATCTGTGCAATCTAACTCTAAACCATGTGGAAATCCAACATCCTTTCATTTGAACATGGACAATATTACCAGATCTGTGTTAAAATTTTGGTACTTGAGAATTATTGCAGTTTCTTCTTATGTCTGCTCTATCCATAATGCCTACGTACAGTAATTATAATTGCCTGGTTTAAACTAGGCACATGTTGGCGAGGTTGGTCGAAGAGGGGAGATGGTTGCTTTTGTACTAACTCATTTCTTGAGAATAATTACCTTACTGTGTAATCAGCACTTTAAATGTCAAGTTTGGTTATTGTTTATGACAGAGGCAAAGACACGTAAAAGTTCAAGCACTGATGAGACCTCCAACGGTTCAGTACACGGTCTAAAGAATCGAACACTCACTGGCATGGCATCCAAAACTACCACAACAACAGCACAGAAAAGACAAGCACATGTACCGTCGCTGCAGGTAATGCTACAAGTTACTACTAATCAATTGTATATGTGTTTTATTTCACACATAGGACACTAAATCATTTTCCACGTAAAGGGGACCTGTCACTTTTCTACAATTTGCACTATTAAATGGAATATTAAAAGAAATGTTAACCTTTTTTCATGAAGATGTTCTGTTTTTCTTTTAAATTTATATAAAAGTTTTAACAAATGAAATTGCAGTCCAGATCAGACAATCGAAAGCCAGGGCAAACATTGCAAATAAGGAGAAGTACATAACTTTGTTTAATTTCTCCTCTTCTCTGTATGCTTTCTGCCAGACACAAAAGGCAGGGCTTATGGTTGACAGGGAGCATAGACGAGCCACCCAGTTGCTGGATAAGGAGTATTTTTTTAAAATAAATTTTGGGGGTGTGGTGGGAGTGGCATTTCTGCTTTTAATTTTTTTCACAAGAAGGGCATGCCAGATAAATTGCAAACTGTAATAAAAAATCACTGTCAGAATTCATTTTTTTTTTTTTGTAAATTCATTTTTTTTTTTTCTTCATAAGCCAAGGCATTATTGTTACAGTACGCAATAAGGAGCTTTTAACATACATTTCATTTTTTTTTACACCTTAGGAATACATATTTGTTAAATATAGGGATAAGCCAACATTATTCAAATAGCATCCCTGTGCCAACCCTCCTCCCATAAGAAATTATGACCTAAATATAATCAGTCTTCCCCCCTCACCTCCCCCCACCCCAGTTTAATAGAAGTCAAATGGAGTGTTTGATTTTAAACTTTTAAAGACCCAGTGAAGCAAAAAAAGTTCCTATTATACAGAACAGATGTATACTAGGATAGTTTTAGGTGTTTATTATTATTATTATTATTATTATTATTATTATCATCAGTAGTAGTATTTATATAGCACCTACAAATTCCACAGCATTGTGCAATAGGATTGCAATGAAGTTGTTTTGGAAGCTGAAGTTCCTGGGCGCTCTCAATGTTAAACCGTCTTTCAAATGGTTGGTCCCTGAGCACCTGTCCGGTTTTGTGCCTCCTCTACTTGGGCTGGAGGAGAGCCAGAAGTGAAGCAGTGGGTACAGTGGATAGGCTGAGAATGCCATCTGATGTTCTCAGCCTATCACTGGCTGTCCATTGTTGGTACATAATGTATTGTTATATTTATGAGAAGATTTGGTCTAGAGATTTGTCCTCTGTTCTCTATGAATGCATTTAAAAAATAAATAAAAAAGTCACTATCAAGGAAGTAAATACAGGACAAAAACTGGGTGTATTGTCATTGGCTGCATAGGCTAGTTCAGTCATTTGAAATGTAGGACTTTTTTATTTATTTTTTTTTTTTTTTGAAGTTTAAGACCTAATATTCTGGTTGAGAAATGAACAGTTCTACCCTCTTTATTTATCTAACTTAAGAGTGCCAGTTTGAAGAGACCTGTAATTCCCACCGAATTTGGTGCGAAAGTGCCAACCACGGTTCGCCAGCGTTACCTTAACCTCTTCATTGATGAATGCCTAAAGTTCTGCCGGACAGAGCAGGAGGCCTTTGACAAGGTAAGCGCTTCTGTAAGCAAACTTAGAGATTACAATTGAGCTGCGGTACTGGTTCATCATTAGTTCTCCTATCCCCACAGGCTCTTGAAGAGGAAAAGATTGTTTACAACCGGAGCTCCAGCCGTAATATTTACCTGAATGTGGCTGTTAATACACTGAAGAAACTGAGGACACAGGGACAAGGATCAAAAGCCACTCCTATTAGTGAGTGTAGATTTGTAAGGCAACTTGTTAAACAGCAACATTACTTGGTGGGAGGGAGTTTACTAAACTGTGATACATTTCAGAACATGGGGTTTTCATCAAAATAAACATCTCAAACATTTTATTACATAGGAAATAGCATCTTACAACTGCTTGGTTTGGGATGTAGGCCAAGGTATCATCTACTCAATGCACAAAGCACCGTAGGCAAGCCTGTTGTATTTTGTACTCCAGTACTCTAGCAAAATCTGAACTTCATGAACTCTCACAATGTACCTCTGTAATACATATTTGGTTCCATTTTGGCCTTACAATAGGTACCAGATTAGTGGCATTAGCTTGGGTGATAATTTTGCAAAGCAACAGCCAAATGGATTCCATGTCAACCGAATTTCAGAATATCTGGCTGCAACAGAACATTGGACATCTGTATCCAGATGCAGAAAATCCAAGCCCCAATTTTAAAAATCCAAATTATTTGTCTGCCAGCTCTTGTGGGCAAATAGTAGAAAACTGCACCTCCAGAGTTTTGAGGTGACTGGCCAGGTCTTGCTAGCCAACCGCCCCTCTAAAAGTTATAGAAGCCTAAAGGTGCCAATATGACCCTCCTATAACTGTCGTAAGGATTTTATCCTCCCCCTAACCTCCACCTGACTACAATCTCTGAACACGCCAGAGTCCCAAATCATTTATACGTGATGCTTCCCCCCTCCATTTTTAACTCCGGATACAATATACATAACTATTATCTTTCTTATTTGCCCTGGAGGAAGAAATACACCTTTCTAATTGTGTAATGACATTCATAAATCATGTGCTAGTAGTTTTTATTAATTTTAATGAAAGACATCTGTGTCCTTTAAATCCTGCAGAAAATGAGGGCTAAATGGAAGTGGAGGTTTTTTTTTTTTTCTTTTTTTTTTTTCATAATGCATTAAAATAACAGGTTACTTCCTTCACTTTTTTTGTTTAACCCCTCATATTAGAGAACACAAACAAGAGAGTAATTTCCCATGAGTCTATGCTGGGAGGGAAGGCAGCAGCTAAACTGAGTTTCTCAGTGCAGCGAAACACTGGACATCAACAGGAGGAACTGACCGGTAAGAGATCCGTATAGATAATATATTTGCACAAAGTTTGTATTGCCATAACAAATCTGAGTTTCATAGATGTAAACAATGCTCAGATTTCCATCTTCTTGCTTAGTTTCATATTGGAAAGTATTTAGTGGATGGAAATGTAAGGTAGGTACTATTTAACATATCTATGCATTGAATGTATTGCTTTGGACACTAACACTAGCCTGTGTGTTTTTTTTGTTTTTTTTTGTTTGTTTTTTTTTAATATAATTTTACAGATGTACTGTAATGACGTATTCCTAAAACATCAGCCTGCACTAAATACTGTTCTATTTAATCAACTGATCATCAGAGTTCAGTGACATGAGAGAGGTTTATCTCAAGTAATTAACCCCTTAAGGACACAGCTTCAGAAGCTTGACTTACGCTTAATGACAGAAGCAATTTTTGCATTTTCTTGCTGTTTGCGTTCAACTGCAATTTGCATCTCTCTCATTTATTGCACCGACACATATTATATACTGTTTTTTAAAGGACAGAAAGGGCTTTAATTTGATATAACATATATATAATATATATATATATATATATATATATATATATATGCTTACTTATTATAAAAAAAATACAGAAAAATGCAAAAAAAATGAAAAATATTGTTTTTTTTTTACAGTTTTTGCAATAATAATGTGTGCATAATTAGTGCAGGTTAAGGAAAGTAATTAAAAATAAATTTATTTATTTGTTCTGATTTACAGAATATATAATGTGTCTGGGATTTTAAGTTTTTTTTTTGGTAGTTACAGGTCACAAAGCACAAGGAGTAAAATAAACTTTTAATGTGGAGCGATTTTAGAATTTGGTATGTTTGTCTTGTAAGCTTAATAGCCATAAAAGAAAACAAAATTGCCACACAAAAGTATATATTTATATAAAGTAGACATCACGGGCTATTTACCTAGGGTTGTTTTGACACTTTCTACGTAGCCATTTCACCGCCAACCTCTGCTAAATATTGGAGTAAAATTGTGTTCTTTTGGTTTTTGGCACACAAACTTATAACAGAGAAATTCTCGTGTATATTTTGTAAAGTTGGTGTGTGCTATTCCTGTACAAAGTTTTATTTTGTGTTCAGTTACATCTGCTGAGTAAAATGACACCCCCATTGTATGTCTTTTGCACTATTTCGTGAAGTTACAGTGCCATACAGGATACCTGTCCTTTTCAGTATTCACAGTAGAATTTTGAGAGATGAATTTAATGAGCCTTAGCTTCCATTTGGGGTATTATAACAGTTTGACTGTTCAAAAACCCCCCACAAAGGCCTACCATTTGTAAAAGTAGACACTCCAGGGTATCTTATAAGGTGCATATTGTGCCTTAACATGCCCCCATTTTTTCACCAATATATGCCAAAGTATGTGGTAAAAAATAATTTTGTGCATTTTTTACATACGGATTGCATTTTTGCTGGGCGTTTTGTATATTTCATATGTGCCACTAAGTTCAAACCCCCCAAATTATGCTCAGCTAAGTCTTCTGAGTAAAATGACACCCCATATGAATGTCTTTGGCACTATTTCGTGAAGCTACAGTGCCATATAGGAGACCTGTCCTTTACAGTATTCACAGTAGAATTTTGAGAGATGGATTTAATGAGCCTTAGCTTCCATTTGGGGTATTATAACAGTTTGACTGTTCAAAAAACCCCCACAAAGGCCTACCATTTGTAAAAGTAGACACTCCAGGGTATCTCATAAGGTGCATATTGTGCCTTAACATACCCCCATTTTTTCACCAATATATGCCAAAGTATGTGGTAAAAAAAATATTTTGTGCATTTTTTACATACGGATTGCATTTTTGCTGGGCGTTTTGTATATTTCATATGTGCCACTAAGTTCAAACCTCCCAAATTATGCTTAGCTAAGTCTTTTGAGTAAAAATACACCCCCAATGAATGTCTTTGTCACTATTTTGTGAAGCTACAGTGCCATATAGGAGACCAAGCCATATCCGTTTTTACCAAACTTTGAATTTTGACGCTGGGCCTATGTGCAATTTCCAAGCATCTTCGCAGGTTTTAAATTCAAACTACCCCACAAAGGCCTACCATTTCTTAAAGTAGACACCCCAGGGTGTTTCAAAAGGTATAGTTTGAACCTTAGCGTGGGATCATTTTTCCGCTAGCTTGTACCAGATGTAGTGGTAATAAGCGTTTTTTCTGCCTTTTTGACATACAAAGTGAGTTTGCACAGTATATTTTGCAAACCTTATGTGTGCTACGACTGTATAATACTTCATATGTTGCTCAGCTATGTCGGCTGAGTACAGCAATACCCCCGTATGTACCTTTGCCAGGTATGTGTGGACATCGGAGGGGCACATTTGGGACACAGCCATTCCAGTTTTTTTCAAACTTTGAATTTTTATGCTGTGCCTATGTCCCATTTTAGAGTATTTTACCAGGCTATATAATCCAAATTCCCCATAAAGCCATACCATTTCTTAAAGAAGACATCCCAGGGTATTTCAAAAAGGCATATTTTGAACCTTAGTGTGGGATCATTTTTCCGCTAGCTTGTACCAAGTGTAGTGGTAATAAGCATTTTTTCTGCCTTTTTGACATACAAAGTGAGTTTGCGCAGCATATTTTGCAAACCTTATGTGTACTATGACTGTATAATACTTCATATGTTGCTCAGCTATGTCGGCTGAGTACAGCAATACCCCCGTATGTACCTTTGCCAGGTATATGTGGATGTTGAAGGGGCGCATTTGAGACGCAGCCATTCAGTTTTTTCTAACTTTGAAGTTTTACGCTGTGTCCATGTTCCAATTTGGAATAGTTTAGACGGTTGGTTATTGAAACTTCCCCACAAACACATACTATTTATTAAAGAATACACCCTGGGGTAATTCAAAAGGCATATTTTGAACCTTGGCGTGGGATAATTTTTTCTCTAGTTTGTTCCAGGTGTAGTGGTAATGAGCGTTTTTAAAATGTATTATTTTACTTTTTATAACTTTTTTACTTTTAAAAACTAGTTTTTAAACTTTTGTTTTGCTTATAAATTTTTTTTAAACTTTCCTAAACTTTCTTAAAACTTTTTTACAGATTTAACATTTTTCTAAGCTATTTTTTTTACTGTTAACCCCTAACTAGCAGTACGCAGCACTAACAGTAAATTCCCCATTTTCCCATAACTCCCACCCACCCCAGCTAGCAAAATATATAGTTATAAAATATTTAAATTAATTAAATAAATTGAACCCCTGAGGGTTAAAAAAAAATAAATAAAAGTTAATCCACAGGGGTTAAAAAATTAGATCACAGTATAATACTGTGATCTCTATTTGATCGCTGTAGGCAGTGATCGACTGGCAGGGAAGGGGTTAATTTTTATTTGGACTAGGTAAAGTGTGTTTTTTTGTTTTTATTACTTAAATGTTATTAAAACATTTTTTTAAGCTTAATTTTTAATCAGTCTTCGTTGTTAGTCCTGTACGATAGCAGCATGCATGTTAATGCTGAGGACCAAGTGACAGGTAGAGCTAGAGAAACCCTCTTGCAGATAGATGTCTCTTCCACTCCCACTCACACTACTACTCCCCCAGAGAGCATTTCTCAAACTTACAGGGATGTATAGGATGCATTGATGTCGATGTGAGCAAGGAATTCCTTCCCAGACTGCACAAAGTATGAGTACTCTGAAAACTGGATTCCATAAGAAGGCTAGTGGAGTCTTGACATAGGAGATTTAAAAGAAAATTGCAGGGAATTTAAAAGGTATGCATTGTTATTTATACAGGAGCTGTCTTATACACAAAGCTGAAGGATTACATCATGAGCCCAGAACAGCTGCAAGAACACGGGTACCCAATGGCCCATCCAGACAAGCCTGGCAAGGCCATGCTTTTCACTACAGAGGAAAAAAAGACATCAGAGTGTAAGTTGCATGAAATTTGATTGTATCTCTATTAGGACTATGTGTCAACCTATTGATTAAATCAACCCACAAAGATACTTATATTAAATACTAGACAGCACTCCCTTTTATGTCATGTAACCACTGAGGGTGCACTCCTCCTTTATTAAGTATAACGTTTATCAAAGGCAGAGGGAGGCTCAACAAATGTGTGGCATCCTGTTTTGAAAAAGTATATATTTACTGCAAAAGGTGACTTATTCCTTTTTAATAAGAGACTGTGTTACATAGGACAGTACTGGTTTCTTGCAAAAGCGTTGGTAGTACCTGCACTCAATTCCAGCAGTCACCTGGTGCTCCGGAGCAGGACCAGCAATCCCACAACGTCAAGGCAATGAAAGAAATTCTCCAGGAACGCAAGGTGTTAAGCCACAGGCAGTTTTCATGAAACAAAAAGAGAGCAGCAATGTTTCGACCTACTATTAGGTCTTTGTCAAGCATGAGAGAGACCTCATAGGTGAAAACGTTGCTGCTCTTTTTTTTTTTTTGGTTTCATTAAAACTGCCTGCGGCTTTAACATCTTGCATGCCTGGAGAATTTCTTTCAGTACTAGCCTCTTTTCCTGTACCTTGGAACACCAGAGAGCAAGTCCATAGAAAGCACAAGCGCAAAGTACACTTGGGGTATAAAGTCTCTGCAAGAGCTTTACAGATGTGCTCTGCACATGGGCTGCCTTGAGTGGGGCTAGTCAGCATGGCTGTCGGTCAGAGAGAGATATAAATTTTCCTTTAAAATGACAGGCTGTCTTTCTGGATGAAACCATCCATTTTATGGTTGGGGTGAAATCCTTCAACCTACCTGTCCTGAATTCATGTGTTAGGAGGTATGCGCAGCCCTGCCCCCACATGTTTCCAGCCAAAGAGCAGCCACTGTGACTGCATCTGGTGGCAAATAGTTTTTCCTGCTCCTGGGAGTTCATATGAGTTCCAGGTCTCCCTGGGTTAAACAATAGAACAGGGCACTCTCTGCAGGGAGTGTAGATCTCTGCTAGTCATGCTCTAGCTCTCACCTAGTACAGGCACTTCAAGGTGCAGTGAGTGTCTCCCAAACAGGCCGCAGATTTATAAAGAGAGGAGTCTAAAGCAAATATACCTGTTCTCTTCACTTTATTTAACATTCAGATCATGATTACAAGTTAATTTTTACATTGTGCTAGCCTCATTTATTGAAAATGTGTAGCTAAACAGTTATAGAGAAATATAGACTGTGACCATGGTATCTACAAGGAACCACATTTTGGGTCATTGTCAGGTACTGGTAGACTTCATCTGCTGCTGCTCTGACCTTTGCCCAGAGGTCAAATAACAAGAGGAGGATTTCAGTTGTATGTTTTAGGTCTGGCTAGTAATGTAGGACTTGATATTCTGTGCATTTATTAAGATATAATTTATTTTATTTTATTAGCAGTGAATTTAGTGAAAACCAATGTGAGATCAGTATCTAAGGAAATGTTTGTAATTGTCAAATAAAATCCCATCCATTACCAATGCTAGCATGTATGAATATATGTGGCCACAACTGTCCGAGCTGAACTTGGAATTTCACTGTTTTTGCTTTTGACACTGTCGATTTTCATGCCATGTACATTCTTAGGCATGTGGAGTATCATTGGAGTGCTACAGTGCATCTGTCATGCAAAAAATAAAATTTCCTCTGCTTCTAGTCAGTCATTTCTGCTCCAGATCTTAACTAGTTATCTTTTTGAAGCAGAGTTGAAAGCAAACCAGAGTGAAGAAATGATTATCTATGAGAATCCTTAATTCAGCACTGTCCTACAGATCTGAAGCCCTGTACACAAAGAGCTCTTGAAAACAGAATCCCTGCTAGAGATCAATGCACCATTCTGCTTCTTCATAATAGCAACCTTTATACATCAATGTTAAGCAAAATATCACGTAAAGAGTCTCTTGCCAGAGTGCCAGAAAAGTTGCAGCATATTTCACCACCTCCATGTTGCGAAGTGTTGATGAACAATAGTTGTGACAGGGCAAAAATGCAAATAAGCTTAACACATGGAAGCGTTAAGTGCATACTGCATGCACCATAACCACTGCAGTGCTGTCTGTCTGAACTGTATACATACATTTGATAAGCAAGTCTTTATTCTGAAGTGGTGAGGCATGGCTAAGGAGGCGGGCTTATGGTGCAGCAAAAACTGTAAAAAAAAAAAAAAAAGTGAAGACTCAAAGTACAACATATTAAAGGTGCCCAATGTGGGAAAGGATGTGATCACTGAATGCTAAATGCAGGGATTGTCAGACCGCTACAAAGTGTAGAAAGTATTTTCAAGAAGCAAACTCTGCATCCTTTGCTAAATGTGAGCTGGAAGATATGTTTTAAGGCAGGAGATGTCTACATACTTGTGATGGGGTCACTATATGCGCACTTTAAGACTTGTATTTTTGTGATATGCAACTCCCTAAACTAGCCATCATGAGTACTATTGTCGTCTTGTGGTGATCCATATTATATAATCTATAAAGAAACCCCACAATGCACAGACCAGTGCACCAATGATGTTGTTGACAAAGTTTGACAGGCAGTCTATGGGATCATCAGAGCTAAGGTTAGTGGCCAAAATTCATGTATTTCCAAGAATGTTCTGTGAAAACAGAGACTGCAGGATTGACCTGTGTTATTGCTCCTAGGTGCAGGTTTTTAAGGGTTTTTGTTGTGCAGATTTTTCCCTGCAATCTGCACTGTTGTGTGTTTGTTTATTATTCTCCCACTTCATACATTTTTATTCTTTCAGCTTTCTCCAGAATATGTTGCCGCTGTGGAGCAGAGTATTTGGTGACACCCAGTGGGAACTGTGTGCGGCGGGAGGAATGTGTGCATCATTGGGGCCGTCTTCGCAGACAAAGAGGTGCAGTCTGGTTAATTCAAATGTATATCCTCCTTCTGTATGAGAGCATTTATGTAAATGTACGAAATTTTAGGTTAATAATGCAGGTCTACAGAGTGAAAACTTAAAGCTTGCCTTGTAGCAGTGAGATCTACAATGTCGTCTGAGGTAGAGAAATATTAGTGATTGTTGGCAGTGCAGGAATTTGCAACATGCCAAATGGCATGCTTGGAATTCTAATCAGCAGAACGTTGCAGAATGACACAATGCCAATCATGACATTTCTTATCTTCTTGTAGTGCCTGGTGGTTGGGAAACACATTATAACTGTTGTTCTGGAGCGGTCGGATCTACTGGGTGCCAAGTAGCCAAGGTTAGCTTTGCATTTTGGTCATGAATTTTATATCCTTCAAAAAATCGTTAAAAACCCACTTCTTCATAAAAGTGTATCAATTAAACTGTTAATAGCTCCTGACTGATTCCTCTTCTGCAACTGTCACTAGTCTAATACTATCCTTACCTTTTTGTGTCATTTTTACCCCACTCCCTCTAGCATGTAAGCTTATTGAGCAGGGCCCTCAGCCCCTCTGTTCCTGTGTGTCCAACTTGTCTGGTTACATCTACATTTCTGTTCGTCCACCCATTGTAAAGTGCTGCGGAATTTGACGGCGCTCTATAAATATAATAATAATAATTAATTATCTATATATGTAATTACTGAATACACCAGAAGATGGCAGCAACATACTGAACAATACCTGGACATTAAAACTTGGTCAAAGTCTGTTTATCTAGGATTTGCAAGGTCTACATTGTAAAAGTGGACAATATATATATATATATATATATATATATATATATATATATTATATAATATATTCCAGTCTCAGTCCTCCAGGCATTTTTTGTCAGCCTGCAAGTGGCTGTTACCAAATATGTATGGAAAGGCAAATATCTGAAGCTCTCCACAGCTTCAGGCTTACTGAAATCCAGGGGAAGGCAGGCTCTTCCACATCTAGCCACTTATTTAGAGGAACACTCTGTTAAAGGACCACTCTAGGCACCCAGACCACTTCAGCTTAATGAAGTGGTCTGGGTGCCAGGTCCAGCTAGGGTTAACCCATTCTTTCATAAACATAGCAGTTTCAGAGACCAAACTTCTGGAATAAAAGGGAATCATGACATGTCACACGTCGTGTCCTTAAGGGGTTAAATGGTCTTTCTAAAGATACCATTATTTTCATCATATCAAATAATTTGCAATAAAAAAAATAATAAAATATGATGAAAAAAATTTAAAAAACTAATTAAACACCTATGCTAATAAATAGTTTCTACATTTTGTCTTGAGTTTAGAAATACCCAGTGTTAACTGATATCTGTCAGGAATCCCTGAATGAAAAAAAAAAAAATATATATATATATATATATATATATATATATATATATATATATATATATATATATATATATATATATATATATATATATATCTATATATATATATCTATATATATATCTATATCTCTATATCTATATATATATATATATATTCTCTATCCTAAGGTGTTAAACTTGGGGTATTTTGACTCTTTTCATGCAACCATTTTACCACCAATCTATGCCAAATTGTTTTTTTTTTTTGTTTTTTTTTTTTTAAACCCACACATAGCAATTTAAGAATACATGTACTGAGCTTTAAGGGTTACTGCCAAAGAACACCCCAATATGTGTTCAGCAACATCTCCTGAGTACAGTGATACCACCCATGTATAGATGTGTCAGGTTCTCTGGGACCTAAAAGACCTTATTTGGGGGTTGCGCATTCCAGTTTTCAAACTTGGAATATTCACAGCTGGTCATCATGCACCCATGTCCTATTTGGGACATGTAATTTACCCTCATCAAACCATATGTTTTTGAAAAGTAGACAACCCATGGTATTCAATATGGGGTATGTCCAGTCTTTTTTAGTAGCCACTTAGTCACAAACACTGGCCAAAGTTAGCATTTATATTTGTTTGTGTGTTAAAAGTGCAAAAAACAACTATGAACGCTAACTTTGACCAGTGTTTGTGACTAAGTGGCTACCAAAAAAGACTGGACATATCCCACTTGCAATACCTTGGGTTGTCTTCCTTTGCAAATGGTATGCCATCATGGGGGCAATTCTCATTCCTGGTCTACCATACCCACTCAAAGGCAACATGACCAATCTGGCATATTTCAATGTAAAAAAAAAAGCCTAATATATTTGTAACTTTAAAAAACACCATAAAACCTATACATGTGGAGTACTGTTATACTCGGGAGACTTCGCTGAACACAAATATTAGTGTTTAAAAACAGTAAAACCTATCACAACGATTATATCATCAGTGAAAGTGCCGTTGGCTTGTGAAAAATTCAAAAACATCACTTTCACTGACTATCATTGCTGTGATATGTTTTACTGTTTTGAAACCCTAATATTTGTGTTCAGCGAAGTCTACCGAGTAAAACCGTACCCCCCTTGTACAGGTTTTAGGTTGTCTTGGAAAGATACAGGGTTAAATATAGTGCTAGCAAATAAAATGTTCTGGACTTTCGGTCTAGGTTGTCAGGCAGGTCCCCCAAATTGCAATCCATAAAATTACTTAAAGGGACACTATCGTCACCAGAACAACTACAGCTTATTGAATTTGTTCTGGTGAGTAGAATCATTACCATCAGGCTTTTTGCTGTAAACACGGTCTTTTCAGAGAAAATGCAGTGTTTACATTACAGCCTAGTGATAACTTCACTGGCCACTCCTCAGATGGCTGTTAGAGATCCTTCATGGGTCATGGCTTCCTAAAATGCATCCAAACATTCAGTGTGTCCTCTCTCTGCATGCAGACATTGAACTTTCCTCATAGAGATTCATTGATTCAATTCATCTCTATGAGGAGATGCTGATTGGCCAGGGCTGTGTTTGAATCATGCTGGCTCTGCCCCTGATCTGCCTCCTTGTCAATCTCAGCCAATCCTATAGGGAAGCACTGTGATTGGATCAGGCTACCATTGGATGATGTCAGCAGACTGCTTGTGTTTTTTTTTTTTTTTTGAGGCAAACAGCATGCAGAATTACAGCTTCTGGCTTGAATACAGTAAGATTTTCCTATATTTATGTAGGCATGAGGGCCCAGGGGGGCAAGATGGTGGTGTTAACACTATAGGGTCAGGAATACATGTTTGTGTTCCTGACCCTATAGGGATCCTTTAATTATGTAAAAATATTACATAAATATGCATGTAGAATTTAAATATATTTGAAGTCTACATGTATATTTATGAAATTATGTATATGGACACATGTATATTTCATATTTGAATTTATATATAGTTTCATTCTAAATTTGTATTTTAAGATGAATATATATATATTTATATTCTCTCTCTCTCTCAAAATTACATATATATCTTTTTTATTTTTTTTATTTTTTTTTTATGTTTACATTTTATTTTTTTACAATGTACATGAGGGAGGGAAGGGGTTAATTATTATTTTTAAATTTTTTTTTTTAAATGTTTTTCCTCACAGAGTGCCTCAACCCCTTGAGGCACAGGCAGAGCATCGGAAGCTTGCCTGATGGCTTCCGATGCTCTGCACTACACTGCCATGCGCCACGTGGAGCAACCCGAAAGTGATTGCTTCGGGGGAGCGGCCTGGCAGTAAGAGAGGGTTTTGCACAATGCCTCGACTTCGAAAAACTACATCTAGCCCCCATCTAGTGTTTACCGCAAAAAGCCTGAAGGGAATGATTCTACTCACCAGAACAAATACAATAAGCTTTAGTTGTTCTGGTAAGTGTAGTGTCCCTTTAATCCAACACTATGCAGTCTCCTCACTGCAGCTGCTCTTTCTCTTCAGATGATCACTTGTATGATCTCTGGTCCATTCCAATACTTTTCATTGAGAAAATACGGCACGTGTGGCAATCTGCACACTTCACTAGTCAGTGTTTTGGTGGCATGCTCCGCATGATGACACGTGCAGCACTCAGCGGAATCATGAAGTGCTTTTGGGGGCTTAAGAATATCTTAAATGTTAATGTGAACCTTATATGTTAATTAAGTCACAAGATCAGCATCATAAAGTCAAGCTATCTTTGAGAAAGTGGCAATCCCTCTGCTCTCACTGTAGGGCAAGAGACTGCTCAGATCCACATCTTAAAAAAATTAAATGTTGTATCCAACTTGTGACTACTAGTAATTTATTACCACATATTACTCCCCACTTCTTCTCTTGTTTTACAACCCTAACTTCTGTGCAGTATGTGGATGAGTACATATCTCCCCCCCCCCCCTTATAACCCCCGAAATGCTTCTTGGCATTCTAAATATCTGCCTTGACACCTTTTCACAGATGTTTTAGCTCACTTATTGGTAAACGGTAGAGGTTTTCTAAAATGTGTGACTTGTATAAGGCAGATGTGTGGGCCGCAGACATATATTTGTGGTATTCCTGTGTGGATTGTCGGTGTGTGTGTGAAGGTCAGCGTCTGTGTGTGAGAGAGAATATGCTTGCTTTTAGAGTGGAATGTTTCATTGAATATTGTTGGTAGGGATTTGTGCTGAACAATGTACTCCTCTTAAAACAAGTTTCTTATAAAGTACACCATTTTGTTTCTAAAATTTTCTGTGCACTTCCTTTCTCTCCTCCAGCAACATGTACACGACAACCGCAAGGACAGCCTTGATGGATTTGTGAAAACATTTGAAAAGTTGCCAGCTACCGATGGAAATGCTGGGGTGTTTGCTCTGGACTGTGAAATGGTTAGTTTTCTGGGTTACATGTAATTTGCAGGCTAGTTTCGACCAATAACGTGCCTCTTCTTTGCAAATGTGTGCATCTGTACCGTTTTAAATGGATAGAAACCTAGAATGTGACGGCAGATAAGAACCATTCGGCCCATCTAGTCTGCACAATTTTCTAAATACTTTCATTAGTCCCTGGCCTTATCTTATAGTTAGGATAGCCTTATGCCTATCCCACGCATGCTTAAACTCCTTTACTGTGTTTACCACTTCAGCTGGAAGGCTATTCCATGCATCCACTACCCACTCAGTAAAGTAATACTTCCTGATATTATTTTGAAACCTTTGTCCCTTTAATTTAAGACTGTCCTCTTGTTGTGGTAGTTTTTTTTCTTTTCTTCTTTTAAATATAGTCTCCTCCCTTACTGTGTTGATTCCCTTTATATATTTAAATGTTTCTATCATATCCATAATTCTATTTTTGATCTGTACCTTTCTAGTTGAGTAAACTTGATAATTGTTACATCTCTTATATTCTGATCTTTATCCTCCCTATAAATAATCTTAATTTATATGGAATGTATCCTATATCAATACATAAAAACGAACTAAGTCAGGAGTTTGTTAGGGTAAGGTCATGTCATCCCTGGTTGTCAGGAGTCCTTATAAAAGATTATCGTTAAAACTTAACATTTAATACTATATGCAAAAAAAAAAAAAAATTATTCAAACACCCATCATACCAAGACTGTCAAAACTTACAGAGTTTGACCAGTAGAGGACAGCATCGTTCTGCTCCTTTTACCGAACATAACTGTCAAAACTTCTAGAGCATTAAGCTCTCATTTTTCTCCATTACGTTTTTCCTTTCGATATTTGTTTTCTTTGCATGAATCTTCAATGGATCTACTTTCCAAGATGGATTTTCTTAGCTGATATATTATTTCTTTATATCTGTTACTCTTCTGTTGTAGTTTATGTGGAAACATTTCAATTCTGATTTTAATTCTGTAAATAAATGTGTAACCTGTCCCAATAGTCCTCCATTAATGAGGGCAAATATTTACTAGACACGTGCAGACATTTGTGTTGAGTAATTTGTCGCAAAAAATCCTGAATTTCGCACCTATCTAACATTTACCTCTTCCTACTACAGTTTTTTTTTTTTGTAAAAATAAAAACTTACTAAATCTTGGGTATGCTATAGTATCTTGTGCGTATGATTTAGTAGATCTTGACCATGAGTTTTCACGCATGCACACAGTTTAATTTGTGGGTATGATCTACTAAATAGGCGCTTCCTATTAGTATCTACCTCTCTGCTGCTTTTGGAACCCAGCCCAACATAAGGGTTGCCAGCCCCTGCCCCTCTCTGCTCTCTCCGTCCTCATTCTGCTGTTTATAATGCATTGAATTACAAGGTTGGTGGGTGGGAGCGCCTGCAGCTCTCTGTTGCTAAAGTGGAAGAGCACAGGGAGAGTACAGCCCGTTGTGGCAGAAGGAAGCTAATAGGAAGTACAAGCCCTGCTGCTCAGTGTTCAGGTCTCTTGTGTGCATAATTTAGTAAATAATGCCCAAAAGTTAACTATATTACATAGAAACATAGAATGTGACGGCAGATAAGAACCATTCGGCCCATCTAGTCTGCCCAATTTTCTAAATACTTTCATTAGTCCCTAACCTTATCTTATAGTTAGGATAGCCTTATGCCTATCCCACGCATGCTTAAACTCCTTTACTGTGTTAACCTCTACCACTTCAGCTGGAAGGCTATTCCATGCATCCACTACCCTCTCAGTAAAGTAATACTTCCTGATATTATTTTTAAACCTTTGCCCTCTAATTTAAGACTATGTCCTCTTGTTGTGGTAGTTTTTCTTCTTTTAAATATAGTCTCCTCCTTTACTGTGTTGATTCCCTTTATATATTTAAGTGTTTCTATCATATCCCCCCTGTCTCGTCTTTCCTCCAAGCTATACATGTTAAGATCCTTTAACCTTTCCTGGTAAGTTTTATCCCGCAATCCATGAACCAGTTTAGTAGCCCTTCTCTGAACCCTCTCTAAGGTATCAATATCCTTCTGAAGATACGGTCTCCAGTGCTGTGTACAATACTCCAAGTGAGGTCTCACCAGTGTTCTGTACAATGGCATGAGCACTTCCCTCTTTCTACTGCTAATACCTCTCCCTATACAACCAAGCATTCTGCTAGCATTTCCTGCTGCTCTATTACATTGTCTGCCTACCTTTAAGTCATCAGAAATAATCACCCCTAAATCCCTTTCCTCATATGTTGAGCTTAGGACTCTATCAAATATTCTGTACTCTGCCCTTGGGTTTTTACGTCCAAGATGCATTATCTTGCACTTATCCACATTAAATGTCAGTTGCCACAATTCTGACCATTTTTCTAGTTTACCTAAATCATTTGTCATTTGGCTTATCCCTCCTGGAACATCAACCCTGTTACATATCTTAGTATCATCAGCAAAAAGACATACCTTACCATCAAGACCTTCTGCAATATCACTAATAAAAATATTAAAGAGAATGGGTCCAAGTACAGATCCCTGAGGTACCCCACTGGTGACAAGTCCAAGCTTCGAATATATTCCATTAACTACAACCCTCTGTTGCCTGTCACTCAGCCACTGTCTTACCCATTCAACAATATTGGAATCCAAACTTAAAGATTGCAGTTTATTGATAAGCCTTCTATGTGCAACAGTGTCAAAAGCCTTACTGAAATCTAGGTAAGCAATGTCTACTGCACCACCCTGGTCTATAATTTTAGTTACCCAATCAAAAAAATCAATAAGATTAGTTTGGCATGATCTCCCTGAAGTAAACCCATGTTGTCTCTGATCTTGAAATCCATGTGTTTTTAGATGTTCAACAATCCTATCCTTTAACATGGTTTCCATCACTTTCCCCACTACTGAAGTAAGGCTTACTGGCCTATAGTTGCCCGACTCCTCCCTATTACCTTTCTTGTAAATGGGCACAACATTCGCTAACTTCCAATCTTCTGGGACTACTCCTGTTAACAATGATTGGTTAAATAAATCTGTTAATGGTTTTGCTAGTACACCACTAAGCTCTTTTAATAGCTTTGGGTGTATTCCATCAGGTCCCATTGACTTATTTGTCTTTACTTTTGACAGTTGAAATAGAACCTCTTCCTCTGTAAACTCACGTGTAATAAATGACTCATTTATCCTTTTTCTCAACTGAGGTCCCTTTCCTTCATTTTCATCTGTAAATACAGAACAAAAATATTCATTGAGGCAGTCAGCCTGACCTTTATCCTCTTCTACATACCTTCCTTCTTTTGTTTTTAATCTAACTAATCCTTGTTTTACTTTTCTTTTCTCATTTATGTATCTAAAAAATGTTTTATCCCCCTTTTTTACTGACTGTGCTATTTTCTCTTCTGTGTGTGATTTGGAAGCTCTTATAACTTGCTTAGCCTCTTTCTGCCTAATCTTATAGATCATTTTGTCTTCCTCACTCTGGTTTTTTTTATAATTCCTAAATGCTAACTTTTTGTTTTTAACTATTTTGGCCACATCTGCGGAGTACCACAGTGGTTTCTTGAATTTTTTGCTTTTACTGACAAGCCTAATGCAATTTTCTGTTGCCTTCAATAGTGCAACTTTTAAATAATCCCATTTCTCTTGGACTCCATTTAAATTGCTCCAGTCTGATAATGACTCCTCTACCCATATTCTAATTTTAGAAAAGTCTGTTTTTCTAAAGTCTAAAACTTTTGTTTTTGTGTGGTGTGACTCAGTCACTGTTCTTATATTAAACCACACTGACTGATGATCACTGGATCCTAAACTTTCACCTACAGTAATATCTGATACCAAATCTCCATTTGTTAACACTAAATCTAGTATGGCCTCTTTTCGAGTTGGCTCCTCAACAACTTGTTTTAGAGACAATCCCAGTAGGGAGTTTAGAATATGTGTGCTCCTGGCACAAGTAGCTAATTTTGTTTTCCAATTTACATCAGGAAGATTAAAGTCACCCATGATGATAACTTCCCCTTCATTGTCATTTTAGCTATTTCCTCAACTAGTAGATTATCTAACTCTTCAATTTGTCCTGGGGGCCTATAAATCACACCTACACGAGTTACTGTGTGATTACCAAATTCTAACGTAGCCCAAACGGACTCTATGTTTGCCTCACTAACTTTTATTAGGCTAGATTTTATGCTATCCTTCACATACAAGGCCACCCCTCCCCCTTTCTTGCCTTCCCTATCTTTCCTATATAAAGAGTACCCTGGTATTGCTATGTCCCAGTCATTTTTCTCATTGTACCATGTCTCAGTAACAGCGACTAAATCTACACTATCAGTTGCCATTATTGCCACAAGTTCATGGATCTTATTCCCTAAACTGCGAGCATTTGTAGACATGACTCTAAGCTTATCATTTTTTAACACACTTGCTACAGGCACCTTCTGTCCTTGTTTTGGGGACAATTGGATTGATGTTTTATCACCCTTTTGCCCCCCCCTCCTAGTTTAAATACATCCTAGCAAAACCTCTGAACTGCTCACTGAGAACATTTGTTCCCTTTTGAGAAAGATGCAAACCATCTTTTTTGTACAGCTTATTTCCATTCCAAACAGAGCTACCATGAGAAATAAAGCCAAATCCTTGCTCCCGACACCATTCACCAAGCCACAAATTAAAGTCCCTAATACGCATCCGCCTGTCGTTCTGAGTGTTATGCACAGGCAGAACTTCAGAGAATGACAGTGTGGAAGCAACCTGCCGTATATCATTGGCAAAAACACTAAAAACTTCCTTAACCTCTGAAACCTCATTGCAAGCCAAGTCATTTGTCCCTAGATGGACAAGTACATCCAATTCCCCTTCCTGCTTTGCTTGCTTAACAATATTACAGATACGTCTCCTGTCTCTGTGAGCAGTAGCTCCGGGAAGACACCTCACAAGACCACCATTGTCCATCTCCACACCTCTTATGATGGAATCCCCCAACAACAACTGCTTTCTATTAGGCCTCACCATAGTCTCCAAGCCGGTCTCCACAACACCACTAGCCTCAGTGCCTCTCTCCACAACACCATTACACTCTGAAAGTGCAGAAAATGAATTCTGAAGAGCAACAGACTGTGCAAAATGCCTTTTATCCACAACTCTAAGTCTACCAGATCCTACAGTAATCCATCTGCCTTTCCTAGTATGTCTCTGCGGCAGTGGCTTTGCAGCAGTTCCAGTCTGAGTTTCTTCACCAGATAATTTACAAATCTCAGACTTCAAAAATACAATCTCCTGCCGCAAGATAGAGAACTGTCTACAGATTAGACAACAACCAAACCTCCAAAAAGTGGAACGTGAAACAAATGCATAGCAATTGTTACACTGAACTAAGCCTGCCATTCCAATTAGGAGAATAATTTAAATCTAACAAATCTTAATTTTGTATTTATCCTCTTGAATACCTCAGATTACCTCCAGTTTCTCTCCAGAATATCTCCAACTACACACTTAGAAACAGCACTTAGAAGTAGCACCAAGCTATATTATACAAGCTAATGACACCAAGCCTTATAGAACTCCTAAAATCACCACCCACTAGGAATGTTTAACACCTGGGTAGGCCTCTGCTTATTTGCAAACAAGTTCATGTGCACACGCGAACTCTCATAGGCATGATCTACTAAATTGTGCACATGATTTAAACAAAACATTCACCCTGTCACCTCCTAAACACTCTAGTTACCTCACCCGAATCTACCTCTTCTTTCTGCAGTACACTCACTAAGCTAATATTGAAGGTTATTTTTATTCCTTACACCAGTGCCCATTGCATAGCTTGACTTACATTTTATGTTCTTTTCATGTAGAAGTAGACTGTTGGAATCCATGAACATTTTATGGCTATTACAGAACATATTTACAATAAAAGAAGATTGCTAACCATCCTGACAGTATTGGGTAGACCATTTTGTATCTTTGACATTGAATAGTATTATGATTGAAAGAAGTCTGTGCTTAATTATTTTACATACAGTTTGTTGGCAGGGGCATTTACTTAATGATTAGAGTTTTGAATTCTAAAAACTAATCCATTATTTTGTCTTGTTTTCAGTGTTACACCACACATGGATTGGAACTAACACGTGTCACGGTGATTAATTCAGAGCGTAAGGTTGTGTATGACACTTTTGTGCTGCCAGACAACAGAATTGTGGACTATAACACCAGGTAAATGTTAGAATAAAATAGGTGAAAACGTGTTTGCTATGTTCTCAAGCCACACTCACACCGTATACAGTAGATAAATAATTGCTGGATAGACTGTCATTACCATAGTAATTATAATACAAAGAATGTTGTGTGAAGTTCAAGACAAAGAAATGGAGTCCCTTGGTGCTATCCTTCCATGCCACATTAAACCATTTAAATGTTTGAATACTAAATAAGAGTCCCCCGCAACCTATCCTCTCTATGCTGCTTGGGTTAATGAGGAAGCATTAGCCTGAGCAGCAATGCATGGCTGGGATGGGTTAATACGGTTAGGTGACACTGTCAGCCAATCACAGTGCCATTGCAGGTATGAATGGGTATGGCTACATACAAGTGTGTAATGCCTGCTTTAGCCACATCTCCACTGGAGTCGGGGCTATGGAAACCCAGGGACCATCAAACTGATTGAAAATAGTTTAACGCTGAATTGAAGCACAGTACCAGTAAGTGTACAATAACTAATACCGTAAGATTAAATTATTTAGAAGTGTGGTCAATTTAGCTGCAATCTGATCAGAATTCTCCAAATGTGTATGACACCCCTTTTAAGAAGCAAATCACATGATGATCAACATTGGAAAGTTGAATGTTGGCAAAGGGCTATCTATACAGGAGTTATATTTTAGAAGCTTCCAGGCATCTGACATTTCTAGTCTAGGTAGAACAATAAAATTTAATTTTAATTTTTTTTTTTTTTTTTTAAGGCATGGTAACTTATTTAATTCTAGTGGTTTGTCATATTTCTTTCTGTGTTGCTTTGGAGTTTGGTTAATGTTATGTTTTCTGCTGGGAGACTGCCTGTTTAGTGCCAGCATTGAGGCGAATGCCGTTATTGCACTTGACGTCCATACTTGTGTTCTCTTTGTCATTTAGGTTTTCTGGTGTGACAGAAGATGATATGCAGAATACTACGATCACTCTGCGAGATGTTCAGGCTGTTCTCCTTTCTATGTTCAGTTCTGATACAATTTTGATTGGACACAGCTTGGAAAGCGACTTTTTTGCATTAAAGGTAGGATGCCTTGCTCTTTTATTATAATATATATATATATATAAAAAAATTTTTATTTTTTTTTGTACTCTATGCAACCTCTTGTGGTATAACTTCACAGCAAGACAAATATATATACACTGATCAAAAAAATAAAGGGAACACAAAAATAACACATCCTAGATCTAAATGAATTAAATTTTCTTCTAAAAATACTTTTGTTCTTTACATAGTTGAATGTGCTGACAACAAAATCACACAAAAATTAAAAAATGGAAATCAAATTTTGTGGAAAAACACACTACAGGCTGATCCAACTTTTATGTAATGTCCTTAAAACAAGTCAAAATGAGGCTCAGTAGTGTGTGGCCTCCACGTGCCTGTATGACCTCCCTACAACGCCTGTGCTTGCTCCTGATGAGGTGGCGGATGGTCTCCTGAGGGATCTCCTCCCATACCTGGACTAAAGCATCTGCCAACTCCTGGACAGTCTGTGGTGCAACGTGACATTGGTGGATGGAGCAAGACATGATGTGCTCTATTGGATTAAGGTCTGGGGAATGGGCGGGCCAGTCCATCACATCAATGCCTTCATCTTGCAGGAACTTCTGACACACTCCAGCCACATGAGGTCTAGCATTGTCTTGCATTAGAAGGAACCCAGTGCCAACCGCACCAGCATATGGTATCACAAGGGGTCTGAGGATCTCATCTCGGTACCTAATGGCAGTCTGGTGAGCACATGGCTGTGCGGCCCCCCAAAGAAATGCCACCCCACACCATTACTGACCCACTGTCAAACCGGTCATGCTGGAGGATGTTGCAGGCAGCAGAACGTTCTCCATGGCGTCTCCAGACTCTCACGTCTGTCACGTGCTCAGTGTGAACCTGCTTTCATCTGTAAAGAGCACAGGGCACCAGTGTCGAATTTGCCAATCTTGGTGTTCTCTGGCAAATGCCAAACGTCCTGCATGGTGTTGGGCTGTAAGCACAACCCCCACCTGTGGATGTCGGGCCCTCATACCAACCTGATGGAGTCTGTTTCTGACCGTTTGAGCAGACACATGCACATTTGTGGCCTGCTGTAGGTCATTTTGCAGGGCTCTGGCAGTGATCCTCCTGTTCCTCCTTGCACAAAGGCGGAGGTAGCGGTCCTGTTGCTGCGTTGTTGCCCTCCTACGGCCTCCTCCATGTCTCCTGCTGTACTGGCCTGTCTACTGGTAGCGCCTCCATGCTCTGGACACTATGCTGACAGACACTGCAAACCACCTTGCCACAGCTCGTATTGATGTGCTATCCTGGATGAGCTGCACTACCTGAGCCACTTGTGTGGGTTGTAGACTCAGTCTCATGCTACCACTAGAGTGAAAGCACCACCAGCATTCAAAAGTGACTAAAACATCAGCCAGGAAGAATAGGAACTGAGAAGTGGTCTGTAGTCGCCATCTGCACAACCACTCCTTTATTGGGGGTGTCTTGCTAATTGCCTATAATTTCCACCTGTTGTCTATCCCATTTGCACAACAGCATGTGAAATCGATAGTCACTCAGTGTTGCTTCCTAAGTGGACAGTTTGATTTCACAGAAGTGTGATTGACTTGGAGTTACATTGTGTTGTTTAAGTGTTCCCTTTATATTTTTGAGCAGTGTATTTAGAAAATCCAATATATAAATATGTTTGAAACCACAATCTAGATCTTTTTGTATATTATTTAATTATTTTACGTACATTGAGGTTTGGGTTAAATTCATATCACAGCAGCCAAAGAGCTTTGCATTAGCATAAGAGTTGATTTGACATATTGTCATTAAAAGTACCTCTCCATATTGCAATATGTGAAAACTGATTGGCAGTTGGGTTATTAAAGGAGCCACGCTGGCACCATTATCTATGCTTCATTCACTCATTGTTTTCATAATGTAGTGATATGCAAAACACCCTGCAGCTATAAACCTATCAATTCACCCAGATGTCCCAGGGGAAGGCTTATGCTTCCCCATCCCAGTACATGTGTGGGATGCTACATCTAGGTGCAAGCTATTAAAGTCTCTGCCTACTCAAACACAGTCCTGCACAGCTTACTGTGAATGAGGAATGGTAATACGTATGAACAGTTGTACTGTTGCATTTATAGCCTTATTCACAAACCTGTGAAGGGAATGGTCAATAAGGATTTGCACACCTCATCAGATGAACAAAACTCAACGAAGTACATCTTTGATTTGTAACAGTTACATAGCTGAAAAGAGACTTGCGCCCATCAAGTTCAGCCTTCCTCACAGGATTCCGCAGTGCCAGGAAAATGGGTTTGTTTTCATGGCCCTTTAAACTATATTCCCAATGAATACATACATGAAAATATGCATGTATGTATTCATTGGGAGTATATCTACTAAACTGTGTTTTTGTTTTGGTGGGGTTGGATGTGTGGAGTGGCCCTTTAAGGCTTTCCTATGTACACATCCTTATGCCAGAACATATTTTATTCAGAATCTTTCCTTCTACTTTTAGTTCTTTTGTCTTGCATCAATAAACTTGATCTCCAGCGATTTTAAATCTTGGGTAGTCCCCAGGTACAGCTTGTATATACTAACAGGTGGAAACACCTACTCCTTGTTAGCTTGACCACGGAAATGCCCAAGAGGCAACCAAAAATTGCAAACACACAGACAGTGGTAAGAAATCTCTGGTGGGAATACATGCAAAACTGACAGATGCTGCAATGCCTGCCTGAGATCCCTTATGACTACATGCTTGCTGTTGAAAAGAAATAAACATTGCTCATTGAAACCACAAACAAAACTTATGATACTTTTTGAAAAGACGGTGTTGAACCATGAAATTTGAGTTAGAAGCCCAACTACAACATATTCCGTTGGGGTGTTTCTGCCTGGTACTGGATACACTAGCACCATGTTATGTGATACCTAAAAGAGTGATTTGGGAGAACCTAAAGGGACAATCCACTGCCCAAACACAAAATACATTTTAAAAAATCACTGTTTAGTAGATATACCCCAAATGGTAACATGCAAGCATTTAATTATATCGTTTTTAATTAGGGTTATATCTAAAAACCTCTTGCAGAACCTGTATTTTTTTTGAAGCCCTCCCCTTCTAACCCTGCCTAGACTTACTGTGGCTGTCCAATCACAGACTTCTCAAGGCAGGTGCTCTGGGCAATTGCTGCCTCTTGAGTTAATTTCTACTGGGCTAAACAAATCAGGAAGTAACAGAACCTGTAGTCTGCTTGAAAGTCAGGGGGATGTAACCAAGTTAATTTATTAATGTAAATTTCTATTAAAATTTGCACTTTTTGCAAAATGGGGGGGGATATAAGGACACAGTCTTCACATATAAAGCTGGTCAGCAAGCGAAAGTACTTTCGGGGTTGGAGTGTCCCTTTAAGATGTCATAGATTGCTAACCAATGTGTGCAATATGTCCCCAGAAAGCTTACAGATGTTTCATACAACACTCCAACCTCTAAAGCAGGGGTGCCCTGATGTTTTAAAACTACAGCTTCCATGATGCTTTGTCACGCTAAAGGTATGCAAAGCATCATGGGAGTTGAAGTTCTACAATATTTGGGGATCTACCTTTTTGGCACCACTGCTCTAAAGCAACTAGCTGAAGTATTCAAGGGGTTAATTGCATGCCAGAACTTGGTGTGTTTTTTTTTGTTTTGTTTTTTAAATAAATCCTTAGTTGCGCCTCTCGGCTATTATCCTAGAGGGTTTATTCCCTTACCCATTTTGAACAATATATCAAAGCTGACGTGGGTGCTTGTCATAGAGAAGCACTAGTTTTGACGCTTTTCTTTAAGAAGTATAGTTGTTGGATCTCTGCAGTTACTCTGCATACATCCCAATGCCAATGAGATTGTGTGTGGGAAGCTGTATTTTTGCATTGTCTGTCCATCCTCCCCACATGTTGCAGATCATTGTAAACTCTTCCAGTCTTTCAATGCAAAGTAACATAAAGGTTGTATATGAATACAAATGCATAGATACATATATGTTCTATAGGTGTGATTTTTATTTATTTATTTAAAGGCAAAAATACTAATATTTTGAGTGTTAATTAAGGAACTCCAGCAAAGAAACTGGCTGCTGTACAACTGTCTGTTTAGTATGTAATTTGTATGAGAGGCACAGCTTCAGCCTTTTGTTTTCTGCATTTAGATGACCTAGAGTAGCAGGGAATCTAACATTCGCTAAAATGATCATTATTTCCTGGGGAGATTTTGCTCCATTTTTATTAAGCACCAAAACTGCTTTGTGTCACTCCTTTGGTCACATTTCAGAAATAATTTAAATAAATGAATGATATGGCTGTTACTAGACTAAGCTCCCTGAGTAGTCTAGCCTATTATATTAGACCAGGTGTATACTACCTAGTCCTCAGGTTTCATACAACTTTTAATTAGAATTGCATTAGGACATTATCCTGTGTCAGGTGGTCACGTTTGCTATAAGGTGATCAAGTCAACTTGATCAATAATGTTTCTGGTGGACCAGCATTTTGTTTCAATTTGCACTAATGTGCTCTAGTGACGGCTGAGCAGAAAAAGGGTTTGTCTATGGAGGCATCAAAAAAACAGAGATGAACAGCTTTGATGAAAAGTACCCTCAACCTATCCCTAAGAAATATTACTCCAAATCATTGCTATAACATGCAGGGAAAACTTTAAATGCTTCAACAGCCAGCCAGCATTCCTTGTAAATAGGCTATTTTATAGGGGGGTGGGGGGAGAGATCACAAGTAGAGCTGTGAAAAACAGAATATAAAGGGTAAGGTTCACTGTTTCACTACTTTTAGTAAACATTAGGATTATTCACGAAGCGAGAATTCAAAATGAATTTCAAATTTGAGGCCAATGTCTCCATACTGGAAGCATAGCTGACTTAGAGAATGTTTTTAATTTGTCCATTTTTACCTTAAATTTGAATTTCACAACAAATTCACTTTGAATTCTCTCTTTAGCGAATAACCTGGTCTATGAACCATCTTTGTTCCAGAAAGCATGAATGTCAATGTTTGCAAAAAAAGTAAACCAAGTATACTCTTCCTATTAGTAATTAAATAATACTCCACAATTATAATCTGCCCTTTGCTACTTCTTTACTGATGTTTTGTGTGTATTTTTTATTTGTTTGTGTTTTTCCCTGTCCTACTGTACAGCTTATCCATCCAACAGTTGTGGACACTGCCATAGTCTTCCCTCACCGTTTGGGCCTACCGTACAAGCGAGCTTTGCGTTCATTAATGGCTGATCACTTGAAACGAATTATCCAGGACAGTGGTAAGAATGGGAATAGTTTTTCACTTTTACAAAGTTATATGAACCAAAGCTAGATGAGAGTATGCAAAAGGCATACAATTAGCATTTTGCAAAGTACCTACCATATATACTCCAGTATAAGTCTAGTTTTTCAGCACATTATTTGTGCTGAAAAACCCCCACTCGACTTATACTCGAGTCAGTGTCTGTATTATGGCAACTTACATTGTCATAATACAGACCAGGACCGCCAGGCTCATTACAAACCCGGCAGTCCTGTTGGGGGCTGGCAGAGAGCTGTTACTTACCTTTCCTGCAGCTCCTGTCAGCTCCCTTCTCCTGCGCTCCGGTCAGCTCCCTTCTCCTCCACTGTAAGACTCGCGGTGTGACTGCCGCGCGGAGCGTTGCCACGGTAAACCGTGGCAATGCTCTGACCCCGTGGCTCTCGCGAGACTTACAGTGGAGCTGACCGGACCAGAGGAGAAGGGAGCTGCAGGAAAGGTAAGTAACAGCTCTCTGCCAGCCCCCCTCCTACACAGCCCATCCACTGGACCACCAGGGAATGAGAGCCCCCCTCCCTGGCCAGCTAACAAGCAGGGAGGGGGGACGAAAATAAAATTAAATAAAAAAAAAAAAATTCAATAAAAAAATTAAATATTAAAATTAAAAAAAGTAAATAATACTAAAATAAATTAAAATATTAAAATTAAAAAAAATTACAAATAATAAAATGCCCACCCCCACCCAGTTCACACACTCACACAAACACACACTCATACAAACACAGGCTCTGCATTATATACACACACTCATACAAAAACACACACACACTCTGCATTCACACAAACACACACACTCTGCATTATATAATGCAGAGTGTGTGTTTGTATGAGTGTGTTCATATATAATGCAGTGTGTTTGTATGAGTGTGTGCGTATAATGCAGATTGTTTGTGTGTGTGTGTGTGTGTGTGTGTATGTGTGTGTGTATGTGTGTGTGTATGAGTGTGTGTATGAGTGTGTGTATGAGTGTGTGTATGAGTGTGTGTATGAGTGTGTATGTGTGTGTGTGTAATGCAGAGTGTGTGTGTGTATGTAATGCGGTGTGTGTGTAATGCGGTGTGTGTGTGTGTGTGTGTGTGTGTGTGTGTGTGTGTGTGTGTAATGCAGTGTGTGTGTGTGTGTGTAATGCAGTGTGTGTGTGTGTGTGTGTAATGGTGTGTGTGTGTGTGTAATGCAGTGTGTGTGTGTGTGTGTGTGTGTGTAATGCAGTGTGTGTGTGTGTGTAATGCAGTGTGTGTGTGTGTGTGTGTGTAATGCAGGCAGTGTGTGTGTGTGTAATGCAGTGTGTATGTGTGTATAATGCAGAGTGTTTTTGTGTGTGTATATAATTATAAAAATCACAGAATTTCATAGCCCCAAGTTTTACCCTCGACTTATCCACGTGGCATAGCATATTTCACAATTGTTGGTCACAAAACTGCACTCGACTTGTACATGAGATCGACTTATACACGAGTATATACGGTATATGCATTTACAGATTAATCCCTTCACTACCAAACACTTTTTGATTGAAGAAACATTAGCATAACCTTTAATTCGAAGCAAGGGATGCATAGCTAGCATATAAACCATAATGCAGCAACTTTGCGTATAGGTTATTTGGCAGACCTGGCATAAAAATAAAAAATATGGTAATTTACTAAATTTGTATTTTTTACTTATTTGTTCACCTTTTATAAAAATATTAGGGAAATGAAAAGCTTTATACCGTATACAGTGTCTAGCAATATTTCATAGTCTGAAATTTTACTATAAAACAAAAATGCTATTTTTCTCACATACAGTAGGTGTGACAAAAATATATAAATAAAAAGGTAAAAAAACCTAGCCTGCAGGTATTTGTAAGACCATGAAAATATTACTAGTAGTGTTTCTTACAAAAAATTGCAACAGGATGTAAAAAATGTCTTTGGGCACAATTCCCGCGTACAGTTAAATCCTATATTTTAAAAAATAAAAGGTATCTTTAGCAATCTCTGAACAGCTAATGTAATGCTGACAGTGAAATGGTAGTCAATTCACTCCTTCCCACACCCTGACTGTAAGAATGCTACCACCTGGGGTTGAAATATTTTCAGCTACTTTACATTCACTATATCGGGGCTAGCAGCTTCTTGTGAAGATATTGTGTCCTCTACAGGCTTGTAATCAGAACTAGAGTAATGAGGGTGAGTGAGGCTTTATGGACTAGATTTTATACTGCAAAGTACATAAATATTAAAATGTTTATAATAAACACTTTATCCTGCGTCTGGACGTCTCCATCCTGGCTCCTTGTTAGTTGTTATAAGCTCTGTCCATTCCTTCTGACAGTCAGAATAGATAAAGCAAACCGAGAAAAGAAGAATTGAAGTACTGGGAGGAGAATAAGTGTTTCAAAAATGTAAAAGAGGAGGAGTCACAATGTCTCACACTTTTAGAGACTTTTTTTTTTTTTTTTAAGTAACCAAACACTTTGATTTGTGCACATTCCTTGAGGTATTCTGGTAGTGTGTGTATAATCCTTAGTATAGCTGATTTGGAAAGGTGAATTGATAATTTAAAATGCTGCATTGAAGAATTAAGCTAAGCTTAATTTAGACACTCTTTAGCCATTTGTAGTGGTTATGGTGCCAGCAGACTACTTGCACCATCCCTAGTTCTGTTATAGTTTGCTATTAAAAGGTTTAATACATGGTATGTCAGCTGGTGCTCCAACGCCATCCAGTTTAGATAAAAACTGAAATTGCTAGCTATCCCAGTACTCCTGCCACCATAATCACTAGAACTGGCTGTGGAATATCCATCTAAGTTCAGTGAAAATATTTCATCACATAGTTTTGGCAGTTTATTTATTACAAACCATTAGTAGAGATGTATTGATTTTTTTTTTTTTTTTTTTTTTTTTTTTTTTTTTTTTTTTTTTTTAGAATATAGCAAAGAAAGTTACTGGCTGGTGTGTGATGTGTTTTAAATTTTTTTTTAAGTAATATTACCATTTCAATCCCTTTCTGAGATTGTTCTCTGTATTCCAGTGGAGGGTCACGACTCGAGTGAAGATGCCTGCTCTTGCATGGAACTAATGATATGGAAGATAAAAGAAGATGCCAAAGTGAAGCGGTGACCCAGCATTCTCAAACCATTAGAGACTTTTCTCCTGAAAGAGGGAGGATTGCATTCCTTTCAAACTGGACAGAGTTTCAACACATGCAGTATATTGGTTTCATGACAGTGTTTTGCTCAGGGTCATCGTCCCATACCTTCAATTTACTGCTAAGAGGGAAAATCATTTCACAATGCAATTATACTTGTTTCTCCTTTAAACCAAACGTGAGTGGGAAGTATGAGAAAGATGTGTGATTCGCCCTCCTTTCTCCTCCCCTTCTAGAAAGCAATATGTAGGGAAAACAAAGCTATGACACCTTAAGCCTTAATTTGGAAAACTAAAATCATGGTAAAACAAATTTGTGTTTGTGTTAGGTAAAATATGATTTAGCCCACTAGCACTGGAGCAGAAAGCCAACATATGGCAGTCATTAGTGTTAAACACCACCTTATAAGACACCTTTTTTCTATTTTTGTTTGTATATTATTTATTTGTATATTACACTTTTTTATATGGTCCCAGCACCATAGTGCACCTTAGTTTAGCATACTAAATAATAGAAAAGGTTTAAACCACCTTTCTATCCCTACCCCCTTTATCTGCCTGTGGATTCAGTATCAATTGGTTGTTGGCAAGTAATGGCCTGTTGTGATGTTCTTTGCTGCACCAATGTAGTAGTATCATTGCCTGGGCACATAACTTTCCACTTTTGGTACCTATCACATTCATGCCATCCAATTTGCCTTATTTCTGATTGTGTCTCTTCCTCCATTCTCAGCTTGGCATAAGTTTCCACTTTTAACCTCCTTGTTGTAAAATAATGGCATTGAGATAAAAGTGGACCCACCCGGTCTACATCCAGTAGTACTAACGTACACTTAACTGTTGTTTCCAGATAGGTTGAATTGGAAAGATTGCAGCTGTAAGAACGTGTGTGTGTGTGTGTGTGTGTGTGTGTCTCACTGCAAAAGTGTCAATCTCTTGTGTCGCTGGTTCAACGATAAAGGTGGCTTTTTATTGTCTGCTGCAGAGGGAACATTGCAACAGTAATTAAAATAATTTGTAAAAATTGTTTTGTAACTATTTAACAAGTGTTTTTTTGTTATTTTTGAATAATAGCTGCTCTGTAAAATACACCACCGTCAAGATAAAGAAAATCAATTTTGTTAATAATAAAGTGAAACATTCTAGTTTTGTCATTCGGCATACATGTTTTTCGACATTTGCCTCTCTCTGTTTAGAGAATGTCCTTCTTAGGGCACCCATGGCTAATCTTGGTTCCGCCACTTATCTCTAAGCATCAAGGGTAATGCATTGCCAGGGTTGAATAAGTATGCCTTGTCTTCAATTCACTTCTGCTTTACTCATTCGTTCTTGGATGCCCTTTAGTTTTTCGATCAAATCTCCTATGGACTCCTATTTGAACAGTGCTATACTTTAGCACTCCAAGGTTAAGATATGTTAAACTTGTGATGCATCTCTAACATAAACTTTTAGTATGACTATATGGCATTAATAAATGATGATGATAACCTCATATTGCCAGATACTATACAAAGACTATTATTTCACAACAGATGTCAAAGTGTCTACTAATACTACCAAGTATTCTTCTACATAGACACTCACTCCTTATAACTGTATAATACAGCTGACATGCTCACCCCTTTACAATGAATTTAACTGAGCACCGCTGGAGTATTCAGAAAAATGTCAAATTAATACAGTGTAATAGGTTAGAAAATAGACAAGTTGATAATTTTTATTGTACAAAAACTGACGCTTTTTTTTTTTTTGTATTTTTTTTTTTAAATAAAAATATAAAACACCTCAATTTTTATCTCTGTACAATGTGTCTTGCATATAAAATGACTGGGTTCTTTTGATCATTCTAAACACTATGGAGTACAACTATATTTCAGAAACCGAAATAACAAAAAACAGAAAAATGTTTTTATATCCATTTTGAAGTTTACGTATATAAAAGTGTCATGTTTATTTTTACCTTCATGCCTGATTGTGTGGCATGAATGTAAGAATAGCCAAACTGAAAACTAGATTGGCTTGGAGAATTTTTCTAACTTTGCCTAAATGTTTAATGCAAAATATTGTTGGGAATTAAAGTAAAGCCAGTGAATAACCCTCTACATTCTCCTTGGATCCACTCTCTGTCTAATGCAGGTTACTTGGTAGTTTAGATCACTCAGTGCTGTCACAGGCTGCGCTCATAGTGGGCAGGCCACCCACTATTGAATGCATGGCAGGCTGCCTGCCAATCATGTAAGGCCAGCCCAATGTGAACAGTCCCTGCAGGGAGCACTGTTTCAGTGCACTCTGCAGGGACCTAGTGCCCTGAACATAGTTTGAGTTAATCTAATGATGTGCTTCCATCTATGCTTATTGGGGACAGTTCCCTGGTGTCTCCAAAAGCGGGACATTAGGGGGTCCCAACTTAGCGTACAGGTATTTGATAAGGAGGACATTTTCTACAGTGAGAGGTTGTGGTTAAGTAGGAAGGCTTATAGTTCTGCATTCTGCTAAATAATTAAAATATTTATTTTAACATTTGATAGGCCAAAACCTATCAAATGCATTGGTGCCTTGGGTTTCCTTTTCAGACAGCAGGAATAATTGTCACCATGACCACTACTTAGCACATCTAGTACTACTAAGGAAGTTGGTTTTAAGCAGCAGTTTGGGCACTCAGATTCAAAAAGACTCGCCATCACTCTCATATAAAATAAACAATAGGAAAGTGGAGCACTTATTGATGAACATGTATAAATATATTGCGTGATTTGCTGGTTATTTTAACCGCCAGAAAATGTTTTAGAATCCCATACTGCATGAATGGTGACCTCATCTGTGCAATTACCTATAATGTATGGATTACCTCCATGTCTAAGGGTCTTTATCTTGGAGAGATGGAGTCATACATATCCAGGTCTGACTGTACTCCATGGTGTAACTGTAATTCCCTAGAAAGTAAGATGACCCACAGACACCCTTTATTCACTTACCCGAATCCAGTGCTGATGTCCCTCGCTGCTAGGTCAGACTCCGCCCCTTCTTCCAACATAGGGGACCAAATGCACGGTGAGTACCGCGATCGCGTTAGGACAACCCCACAGGAAAGCTTTGGATCTATGCTTTCCTATGGGTTTTTTTTTTTTTTTTAGCTGTCTGTTTTCATGCAGAGCGTGAGGCTGTCCAGCGTCTGTTAAGCGACCAAAAGTTTCCTAATGACTCAGAAGCGCCTATAGTGACAGTCTACCAGGCAGCCACTAGAGGTAGAGTTAACCGTGCACTGTAATATTGCAGTTTCTCAAGAATTGCAATTATCACAATTGCAGGGTTAAACTGACCTGGACAGTGCACCCAGACCACTTCAATAAACTGAAGTGGGTTGGGTGCCTAAAGTGTCCGGGTAAATGTCACCGTATAACTGGTATTAATTGTACATGGTTCTTTAAAACCTCTTGCTGCTCCACTTTTTTTTTTTTTGGAGAGCTGGTATAGCATTCTAAGCTGCTAGCTGCAACAGAAAATGGTTAAGTAAATGTTAGCTAGTGAGGTTGTGCCACTGTTTAATGGGTGCTTATTAAGAAGTTGAGAATATGTTTACATACCTCCCAGGACACTTTAATTTTAGGGGTGTAAGTGGGGTGAAGTCAGGGTTGTTTTGAGAAATTTTAAGTTATGTATTTATGCAACTAAAATGTAATTTGGAACAATGTGCCATTTAAAGAAATACATTTATTGCAGTTTAAATTTGCATTACTGTGAGTACTATTGCTGTGGAGCTCTGTTATACACTCAGACACACCAACATTTTGGAGCTCCTAGAAAAGAGGGCCACTTGAGAGGTATGTGTTTAGCTGACTCTTTTGAAGCAGCTCTGATGCATAATTTGCAAAGACCCCTGACCATGTCATCACTCATGGTCCAGTGGCCTTGGAGGGGCCGGGGTAGAAGGTAGTTTTGCCTGTACCAGTCTTCCACATGTACCTTCCTCTTCTTCCATCTGGAGGTGAAATAGATGTTTGAATTAGACTCTGTAAGCACAAGTGGTTCGAATATAGATTATTTTGATGTAAAAGGGATGCAATTGTATTTCATTTTTATTGTAATGTGATTATTTTAAATACTTCCCTTTTATTTTGTAATTGCTAACACTTTTCATAACCCTTTATGTCCCTTTAGCTTTACATTATGGACCCTCTTATTGTGTGTTTGATACCCATATGCAAATAGTAGTTTTTTTTGTGTGACATAGTTTGGACTTTATGCACTTTTCCCATTATGTGCCAGTATTTAAAAAGACCAATTACCATATTAAGAATAATGTACTGGATGGTGAGAAAACTATTTATAGGGCTGTCTCTGGATTTGGGGAATAGTTGGGGATTTTTTATTTTTTTTATTATAACATTGGGACAGATTGTTGGTCCTCTCCAGCAATTCAAAAATGTATTTTAAGGTGTTATGCTTGGTAGGGTTATTGCATAGAGTTCTGGGGTCATTTTTTTTTCTTTATCATTCAGTATCCCCTGCAGGAAAGAGATATTATCCTCAAAGATATATACTTTGCAAGGCGGTTTTTAACATTGCCAATCAGTTACCAACTGATGATACAATACTAACTCTTGGGTTTTAGTTCTCCAGACATTGTGCCCAATAGTAAGTTACTCATTGTACTTATTAGGATATTATCTTGTTAATAATTATTTTATGTTGGTACCAGAATTCTATTTTTTTTTTTATTTTTTATTTTTTTTATTTAAATGGATGCAATATGTGTAGTGTCTAACTATAACTGCCTTTCACATATAATAAGATAGATACTACTTGCAAACGAGTTTTAATTATTTGTTGCCGACTTTTTAATTATGATTTAATAAAGGTTATGCTTTAAAAAATGTAGGGGGCCTAGTCTTGTATTTACTAACCCTTCTGTATTATATTGAACCAAGGGGTTACCCCCCAATCCCTTCCAGCCGGAGACTATCTCCCTTTATATATTTTGTGGTAAGTGGTTTAACAGTTAGACCGGATACAGTCACAGGTTGCAGCCCGTTTGTGTTGATACAGTAATGTCATAAAAGCAAACCTACCCTCCTTGGCAGTACTTATCTATGCTTTAAAATTTGTGATGCTTACGGTAATAATCACCTTAGAATCGAAATAACAAAAAAAAATATGGGCCTGGTTAATACTTAGCTGTGCTTAGTGCCTGTTTTCATTGAACAGTCTATTGGTTTGCTTATTTCCCTCATTCAGTGTCAAACCAATCTTATCGCCTTTCGTAGATAAGACGATTTTTGATACACAAATAATAGCCAATTATGGCTTGACACTTAACTATCACAGGCAGGCGAGAAGGCGCTACTATTGATTCCTCCCCATGCTGGCTTATCGTTAAGTGATTCCTTTGTTTTTGGAATGTATATTTAAACAATGCGACGCTCTGTAGACATTAAAATGAATGCTACATTTTAAGCTTCTTTAAATCAATCTTGTTTTTTTTTTTTTTTTTTTTACCATATGTATTTTTAAAAGAATTTTGAGCACATGTATAAGTTCGTTAGATAATAATAAATGTAATTACAGCAAATTATTTGATTTCTAGTGGCTGACGAGTATGATAGGGCCTGCATCAATAAGATTTGCCTCTGATAATGTCAAAACTATATACCAACACTTAAATCACTTGAATCAAATCAGATTACCTCACACACACAATTGGGGCCACAAAACATGTCTACGTGAGTTTGATTTCCAGTAATAATTTATACCTGTGCAAACGACATCATACATTAACGCAATATGCAGGTATCTAGGCCTGAGGCCTACTAGTAAACGAAAGCACCTGCAAACCTTATGTGCGTAAACAGAGGTTTGTTTGTCTATAGAATACGTATATGTTTCAGGCACCCTGTAGGCTCAAACTTGTAATTTATCTTATGGGGTATTTAACAAAAGACAAAATAGTCCAGTATGTGTTGTGGCAGCAGATGTGCCTCCGATCGATGCAGGAATCTCCCCGTCTGTACCCAGACGCACGCACACCGCTGTCATGCGGTGACAGTTTAAACTATCTAAGAAGGGAGAGACAAGTCAGATTTGTAATGTGTAATCAATACACCTCCCTCATCAGCACAGCTCCTGTCTTTTGAGATCCATATGGGGACAAAACATACTGAAAGTTTTGAAAAGGAAGGATCTATGACCCTGTGACCCCCACAGGAGATGTGTGACACAGTTTGTATGTGTCTGTACAGATGCTGAATGAATGGAGCACAGAGGGGGATCTAGGGTACACTGTGTTTGCGTTTAAAGCAAACCTGCCTATCTTTACCCCCTGGGTAGCTATAAACCTTCTCTATTATCTATATAGAGTCTATTCTCTGTCATTCTAATTCTTTGCAGTGGTTGCATTTACGATGTGTTTTCTGTTTTAAGGTAACAACCACTGGTTTGAAGGTGCAGCTGTTTCATCGTTTACCGCAGTCATACACTGAATACATAAGAATTGTCAATGTTACTGGCAGGGCCAGACTGGGGATACGAAGCAGCCCTGGAAAAAATTGCCAGCCCCATAAGTCATTGTGCTATGTAGTGTGTGTGTTTTATTTATTTATATATATATCATTGGTATATTTCTTTTTCTAATAAAATTTTTTTAGTCCTTTCAGGGTAATTAAATTATACAGTAAAGCATACTCACATGTTGACACAGACAATCTTACTGATGCACACAAATAGGCTCATTGACAGACAATCTCAATGACACACAGACAAGGTTACTGGTACA